GTTCCTCTTACATTTACTGCAATATGCTCACACCTCATGTAAGCATTGAAACTCAGATGGAAGGAATAGTAAGTGTTACAGCTCGGATGGAAAAGTATTCTGGCAATAGGGAGCCAAGGAATATCACAGGCCACAGTAAGTATAGTGACTTACAGCCTTGCTCCAGGGAAAGGTTTCCCTAGTGTAACAGTTCTGCTATGCCAGGGGAAGGTTTCCCTAGTGTAACAGTTCTGCTATGCCAGGGGAAGGTTTCCCTAACAAAGTTGTTACAATTAGGCTCAGGTCCCCCAAAGTGTAACAACTCTCCTCCATTAGGCAAGGTTTTTTCCCCAGGGAAAGTGTTACAGCCCTGCTCTGCTCCGAAGGTCTTCACCCAAACCTCATTCAAGAGATTTACTGGGAGGGAAGAATCCAGGAGAGTGACTACCTCTGTCAGGGTGGAAGAAGACAGCAGCAAACTGAGCAGCCACTGGGCTTATAAAGGGCTTCTTAGGGGTGGAGTTTTTCCAGGGAGAAGAGTTTCAGAGTGGGAATCAGTCAGATTTCAGTCCCTTGTGCTCAGATTGGCTAGATCAGGGATTGGTTGGTTTTCTGCTCAGGGATTGGTTCATTTTCCTGCTCAGGTATTGGTTGGTTTTCTGGTCAGGGGCAGATTTGGCTCTGATTTTTGGGTCAAAGTGTATTTCTTTCACTGGCCCTTTTTAGTCTTTTGGCTCTAATTTCAGGGCCAGGCCATATTTCTTTTACTGGCTCTGATTCTAGGGACGACATGTGTTTCTTTGGCACTGGTTTCAGAGCCAGGATGGGTTTCTTTCACTGGCTCTGGTTTCAGGGCCAGGGTGGGTTTCCTTGCTAGACCCTTTAACCCTACACCTCCTACTGCCCAAGAGCCCATTACTCTGAGGATCACAACAACCTCCTGTCTGTTCCTAGGACCCATCACCTATTTATTGGTTTTGTTTTTGTGTTTTGGCACTTATTTTAACCTATCATTCCAAATTTTTTTGTTTTTCAAGACAGGGTTTCTCTGTATTGTTTTGGAGCCTGTCCTGGAACTCACTCGGAAGACCAGGCTGGCCTCGAACTCACAGAGATCCACCTGTCTCTGCCTCCCAAGTGCTGGGATTAAAGGTGTGCTCCACCAACGTCCGGCCCTCCTCATCCCAATTTTTAAAAACCTTTTTCTCTTTTATTAGTGAAAGAGATCATAAAAATGGGAAAGGGAAGGGAGGAGACCAGCCTCCAGGGACAGGAACAGTGGGAGAGAAGACAGAGAGAGAGAGAGAGAGAGAGAGAGAGAGAGAGAGAGAGAGAGAGAGAGAGAGAGAGAGAGAGCCTATCATCACAGTTTTAATTCTTGAAGCTATGGCTTGACCTGACCACTCCGTGAAGATGTGGCCAGCAGGGTGACATGCCCCTCAGCCATCACCTGTGTAGGGAACATCTCAAGTTTGCTGTGTGCTCAGTTAAGGCTAGGAGGCAAGGTTGCAAAATATCACTGCTAGGAGGTTCTCAGGAAGTGCTTGCTTCAAACTGAACCACAGAGGTGCTCAGAAGTAGGGAGAGAGGTCTCCACTCCCCTGTCTACCTTCAGAGCAGCACAACTGTGTGTGTGTGTGTGTATGCATAGACATGTGTATGTACGGTATATGTGTGCATGTGCTTGTGTATATATATGTGTGTGCGTCTATGCACATATACATGTGTGCATTGGTGTATGTGTGTGTGTGGGTGTGTGTGTGTACATGGTGGTGGCAGGATTAATGTGTGTGTGGAAGCCAGAGATTACTATTGAGTATCTTCCTCAATCAACCTCTCACTACTTTATTCTTTGAGAAAAGGAACTTACTGACCTGGCTAGATTAGCTGGCCAGAAGCAAAGGGCCCCTCCTCTCTCCACCCTACTGCTGGCATTTCAGGTGCTTGTTGTCATGTTTTGTATGCTAGTGCAGGCCCTCATGCTCACATCACAAGCCCTCTATGAACTGACTGTCTCTACCCCACCTCCTTTTGAGCAGGAGTCTTGCTTACTTGCCCAAGGTGGTCTAGAACTCTTAGATTCCAGCAATTCTCTTGCCTCAGCTTCCTAAGAAGTTGGCACTGCAGGTGCATACACCCCAGTTAGGCCCATTTAAGAATCTATTTTATAATGTCTGGTTAGATATATTTCCAAAGAAAAGAAACTTATAAAAAGTTTGAAAGTTGTCGTTCACAGGTATAGACACTGAGGCCTAGAGGGTAGAGATAGAAGGGACTTGCAAAGGTCGCAGGGGTTGTGACTGACAGGCATGGAAGAGGAGACTGGTCTCCGACCTCTGTCTGTGTGGAGCTCTCTCAACTAGTCCACAGAGTCGCACAGGAAGCCAGGGCTTCTGCCTCAGACATTTTTATGCTATTCTTGAGGAATACTTAGCTACAAGCTAGACAAGTCCAGAAATATCACAGCTCTCCCAAGGTCCCCATCTCTTTTCTCTCCCTTCTCTGAGGCAGCTGCCGTATTGGCTGTCTACACACGACAGAGGTTGCTTTGGGGATCGGCGGTCAAAATTTGCTTGTGGATGGCAGCAGTTGGAATAAATGGAACACGGAAATTCTGATAATTGGGTGACAAGGGAGACAATGAACAACAAGAACAAGAAACCCCAACCCTTGTTGGCGATGCTGTCTACTCCAAAGTGAAATAAAGTTATGTCTGGGCAAAACAGAGTTATGTGAACTGAAAAAGGTACAGTGAGTGGGAGAATGAACAAAGCCACGACATTGTTGTAAATATTACAATTACTAGAATCTCAGTATTATTCACTATTTTTCTCAGAATAATCACTCAACATTAGATTCTGTTCACCCCCTCAAGGACAGAGGGAAAGTTTGGTATGGGCCTTAATTTGTGGGGGCACAAAAACCACTTTTCCCCATTAGAGATAGTCTGTGTGGTGCTAAAAACAGTGCATTAGTTGACTTGTGCGTAATCGACTCTCTGACGCGGACAACACTTAGGAAAATTAAGGTATAAATGTGAGTGCACAGCCGTGGCTGGAGCAGATGCCCGAGGTCAGTGGGACCCGAGCGGTGCCTCAGACGGAGAGGGACACCTGTCACATTGGAGGTGAGAGGGGGTGGTCCTGGAGGGAGGGTTGGGTGGGGGCATCTCACTAACAGAAACCAAGTCAAATGTGTCCATGGGCTGGTGAGGACATGTAGTACCTGCTCTGAGTGCAGTGACCCGCAGTAGCAACTCCGGAACATGCTTTTGGTGGCCGGTGCTATGTAAGGACTGTGGTAAAGGCATAGCACTTGGACACACGGAGAATGGCAGGCAGCAGAGCTGCAGGAGTTAGTAGGAGGCATGCGAGGTCTTTGGAGCCCCTCCCAGGGTTTAGGGCAGGCTCCTGGGTTGAGACATGAGCTGGCTGGATTCTCCTGTCAATGATAGACTTAGCCTGCGTCCGAAAGCAGTCCAATTGCTGTAGAGATCAATGTGGCTCATCGATCACTCAGAACCAACTCAGTATAATTGCTAGGAAATGGGTAACATTTTGCTTTCTCTCAGTTGCAATCATGCTCCCTGCTCTAATTTTCAGTCACAATTATTGGGTTTTGGAGGCTTCTATGACCCCATGCTTGACCCCTACCCCTGGCTTGAAAATAGACCTGAAGTACTTATCATTATTGTTTTCCACTGTAAATGGCCTCAAATCCTTCTTGGCACATGCTTCCTCATTGAAAACTTAGATTTTGTGTGGGATGCGGCGAGTGTTAGAACTTTGCCTAGAATGTCCAAAGCCCTGGATTCTGTCTCCAGCACCACAGAAATGCTCAGCTTCACACTTCTTTGCACTTGAAGTGTGGTCAAATGGCTTCAGAGATTCTGCAGTTCTCGATTGCAAAGGAGAACATTTAGGAAGATAGAAGAGTCCCTCGAGGTTTTCGCAGACCCTTGTTCCTGTGGACATTTGAGACCTGACCTGTCATTTGCCACAGAAGTGTGTCTGTAGAATTCTTATGGTGCTTGTGGCAGGAGGCTGGCAAAAGGTGTCAGCTAATGAGGATTGATGCCTCTTTCTTCTAATACCCAAGACCTCGTCTTTGTCCAATCCCAGAATTAACCATGCCCAAGATCTAGAGTATCTCAAGTGTCATCAGAGGCAGCTGAGTTTGAGCCATTTTGTCACATGATACATAGTTGACCTCTACTTCATAATCTCCTTCCTTCCTTCCTTTCTTCCTTCCTTTCTTTCTTTCTTTCTTTCTTTCTTTCTTCCTTCCTTCCTTCCTTCCTTCCTTTCTTTCTTTCTTTCTTCCTTTCTTCCTTCCTTCCTTCCTTTCTTTCTTTCTTTCTATTTTCCAGACAGGGTTTTTCTGTGTAGCCCTGGCTGTCCTGGAACTAGCTCTGTAGACCAGGCTGGTCTCGAACTCACAGAGATCCGCCTGCCTCTGTCTCCTGAGTGTTGCAATTAAAGACGTGTACCACCACAGCCCAGCCAAAATGATTCTTCTTGTGCCAGTCTTTGTCCACTGGGTTTGGGCAACCCTGTGCAATAGGTCTTGCATAGCTGGGGTTGCTGTGGAATCTGGATCTATCTCTGGGGCAAAGGCAAGTGTTAATGTGCCTGCTTGACCAGGCTGTGCAATGACCAAGCCTTACTATGAATGAATGAATGAATGAATGAATGAATGGATGAATGGATGAATGAATGAATGGATGGATGGATGGGATGATGCTGGACTTTCGAGAATTGTTTCCTCGAAGCCTGCCCTCTGACCTTACTTTCAACTCCTTGACACCACGGGGTGTGCAGAGAGAGGTGCCAATCAAGCAAGTGTTCCTGTTTGTTCCCCTTTTGACTTCTGGGAGGCCGCATGACAAGGAACAAAAGCTTTCCATTTTTCTTTTCAGAACCCTTTCCCATGTGCAGGTGACAAATTCCAAAGGCCCAATGAATAGGGAGAACTGTGAATAGGGCATTGTATCTGAGAAACTGCCTTGCAGCAGGAGGAAGTCTGCTGGCCTGGGAAGCAGGGGCCCATTCTGAAGCTGTTTTGATGGAGGATGGTGTGAGAAATCCCTTCTTGGCTCTGGTGTTGGCTATGAACTGAGGATGACAGTGGCTGCTCTGAAGTAGGCGTGAGGGTGGAGGGGGGATAGGGGCTGGGGTCTCCTTTTGAACTCTAGGAGCAAGGCAGGAGGGGAGGAGGCAGAGGAGAGCTCGGGACAAGGATAGGGCTTGGACTTCGTGCCCGAGGGTTTCTGATCACGAGAGTAAAGAGGGCCAGCCAGGTGTGGTGGCGCACACCTTTAATCCCAGTTCTCAGGAGGGAGAGGCAAACGGATCTTTGTGAGTTTGAAGCCAGCCTGGTCTACAGAGCGAGTTTCAGGACAACCAAGGCTACACAAAGAAACCCTGTCTTAAGAGAGAGAGAGATACAGACAGAGAGAGAGAGAGAGAGAGAGAGAGAGAGAGAGAGAGAGAGAGAGAGAGAGAGAGAGAGAGAGAGAGAGAAGAGGTCTGGAGATGAGACATGAAGGTGAAAAGCCTGTTGTGGAGAGGCAGGAAATGCTGTGACTTGCAGTCAAGGGACCCTCCTTATGTCCAAAGGGTTCCCTGTTTAGGAAGTCTCACTTCTGGAGAGGCCAGCCCAGCTGGAAAAGAAATGCCCCAGTGTGATATGTGAGGAAGACAGGGAGTGTAGATTCTTGACCCAAGAAGCAAGGCCTAAGTCATGTGACAATGTACCTGAGAGTCCTGGCAGGGTGTGGGAATTGGGGCCAGAGTGAACAGTTCCCATGAATTCTCTCTGGGACCCAAGGCACCCATGACCAGAGAGGGCCAGAATCTGCAGAGGGGCCTGTTGCCTGAAGAGAAGTGAGCCTAGGCAAGCTTGGTGAACTGGGTTAGTGCTGGACCTGTCCACAGAAATCAGCCCTCACTGGGACTAGGGAGAGAGGAATCATGGGATTGTAGGGGTGGTGCCTTTCAGTCAGATCCTCCTAGGCAGACTTTCTGTTGAGAAAACCCAGCTCCTAGCTGGCCAGTGTCTCCATACCAGGGCAGGCCAAGGCAGCTCTCCCCTAACTGCAGAGCGTGGTGCTAACCGGTCCCAATTAAGGTCATTATGAAGTCTGTGAGAAGATCCTGGCACACTCACACTCGATGCTCCTGTCTGCCCCTTTCAGAGTTCTGTGTAATGTAACAATTCTGCCAGGTGCGGTGGCACATGTCTGTAATTCCAGCTCTCGGGAAGCTGAGGCAGGAGGATTATGAGTTAGAAGTCAGCCTCGCAACACAGTGAATTCCAGGCAAGCCTCGGCTACATTTCTAGACACTGTCTTATACCCTGCCTCCAAAATCTGAGCTTCCAGAACAAGATACTTCCACCTTTGCTGCAACTCCACACAAAGTGAAACAGCATGAATCTGTCCTCTGAGTGAAATAAGTGTTAGGTGACCCCAGCAAAAGTTTCTAGAGAGTTCCTTATGTGTTTCTTCTCACCTGACCTGATCATTATGGTTATTATCTCCATTCTGTGGCTGGGGAAACTGAGGCTCAGATAGGTAAAGCCACTTGTAATGAGGAGCTCAGGTAGTGAGAGCAGAACCAGGAGTTGAGGTCAGATCTATAGGAGATCATGGTGTCCTCTGCTCCCTGCTGTAAGTCAACCAGGGACTATGCTTTCTCTGCCTGTCTCTCCTGTGTGTGGGGGTGGGTTGGGTGGGGGATGGGTGTTCCCCTCGCACATTCCCGGAGAGTCGGTCTCACCGAGTTAACAGACTTTCTGCTCTGCCTCATGCAGTGGCCAGTGTGGCTTCGGTCATCCCAGGTGGGGAAGCCAGAAGCCAGAGCTGAGGACGGACAGTTTTGAACTTGAATAGGGTGTGTCTGACTTTCAAAGGCTGACAGACAAAGGATGAGGACCAGGGTTTGTCGTGGAGTGGTGCCCCGGGGACACTGTGGCTATGTCTGATTGTGCCCTCCTGGTCTTCTTTGCAGGTCCCACCCAGGGGCGAAGGATGCCACTCTGGGTGTTCTTTGTAATCCTCACCCTCACCAGTGGCTCCCACTGTTCACCGTCCCCATCACTGCCCTTCAGGTGAGCAGCCAGGGTTCCTGCACCCCTGAGACCTCCAGCCAAGGGCAGAGAGAGAGGATGCTGACTGGAGTCACCACTGTTTATCTCAGGCAGGCACCGGGCACGGGGCCCCCGAGATCATGCAACCAGGCTCTGAGTTTCTTAGGGAGTGAGGGGAACAGAGAGCAGCAGAGGGAGGCCTGTACCAAGATGTAGGATAGCTCGCACTGCCCCTCACCGGGCCCATCCTGACCTCCGACCCTTTTGCACAGGATTCGTCGATATGCAGATGCCATCTTTACCAGCAGCTACAGGAAAGTTCTGGGCCAGCTGTCTGCCCGCAAACTGCTCCAGGACATCATGAGCAGGCAGCAGGGGTAAGCAGATATTCTAGTAGCTTCTCCCCTGCCTTAGGGCTGGGGAGGCCTGATGCAGGAGGTAGGGCCCAAGCTTCATTTTTTCCCCTAACACAGTGTATATTGGTGGTTCTCAACCTTCCTAATGCTGTGACCCTTTAATATAGTTCCACGTGTTGTGGTGACCACCCCACCATGAAATTATTTTGTTGCTACTTTATAACTGTAAATTTACTATTGTTATGAGTTGTAATGTAAGTATCTGATATATGACCCCAAAGAGGTCATATTGAGAATCACTGGTGTATATACATCCTTTCCGGGCTTTGCACACGTCAAACCTCCATTTACCTCCACACCTTCTGTGTGCCTCTCCCTGTCCTTGGCTCCAGTGGTGACAATGCTGATGGTCATTGTTCCTGTTGGATCAGGTCTCCAGGCCAGAAACAAAGACTAGGCATGAAGACACATGCATGCATGAGAGCTCCTGTGCCAGGGCAGCCTCCGTAAACCTCAGATCTCTGAGACCACCTGTCGTTACCCTGCTGCACATACCCTGTGCATCATGTCCAAAGGACGCACAAAGAGTGCTGAGTGAAGATCCCAACAGCCTGACTTCACAGCTTTTGTTTGAAAAACCTTCAAATGTACAAAAATGTCATGGGGATGGAGTTAGCATGCGCTGCTTTTGCAGAGGACCTGAGTTCAATTCCCACCCATGTGGAGGCTGACACCCATCTTCGACTCCAGTCCCAGGGGATCCAACACCTTCTTCTGGCCTCCACAGGCACCAGGCATAAATGTAGGCAAACAACAACAAAACCCATACACATTAAAATAAATAAATAAATACAAAATTCTCATTTTCTCTGAGCCATTTTTAAATTTATTTCTTTTGACGCAGGCTCTTGGATAGCTCAGGTTGGCCTCGAAATCAGTGTGTATTCTGGATGACTTGCTTCTGCGCCTCTTGCTTTCACCTCGGGAATGCTGAGATTACAGGCTTGCCATTACAATTATCATGACCTTTTACCCTCTGGCACTCGTGTCTCTTAACAGCTAACAAGAAATATCCCCTCTGTCCTCAGTGTCACTGTCACTCACAACACATATTCAAATTTCATCAGTTATCCCAACAGATTCTTTATAATTATGTCTTCCCTGACCTCGGACCCAGGGTAGAATCAGGACTCCATTTACTCATCCTCCTCTATCTCCCTCTCTTTCTCTCTTTCTCTCTTTCCCCCTCCCCCCCTCTCTTTGGAGGGGGCGTTTCGGGGCAGGGTTTCTCTGCGGCTTTGGAGGCTTCCTGGAACTCGCTCTGGTAGACCAGGCTGATCTCAGAACTCACAGAGATCCGACTGCCTCTGCCGCCATAGTGCTGGGATTAAAGGCGTGCGCCACCACAGCTGGCCATATCTCTTTTTTTATCATTAGATTTATTTTATGCATATGATTGTTTTGCTCTCAAGTATGTACCATATGCATGCCAGGTGCCCTCTGAGGTCAAAAGAGGGCACTGAATCCCCTGAATCTGAAGTTATGGATGGCTGTGAGGCAGAGGCACCAGGTGGATGCTGGGAAACAAGCCTGGGTCCTCCTCAAGAAGTGCTCTTAACTGCTGAGTCATCTCTCCAGCCCTCCGCCTATCTTTGAGTTTAATCTAGAAGATGCCTGGTTTTCTTGATTTTGACAACTTTGACTAGTAAATGTCATTACTTCCTAGACTGCCCTTCACAGTGAACCCATCCAAGGTACCTTCATATTTAGTACCCGTTGTGGCCTTCTCAGCCATGGTATCAGAAGCTGCACACAATGGGTTGTCCTGTTACTGGTGGATGAGCCATCTGTGGGAGGATTTTGCAGTGGTACCAATATGCATGCTGTATTTTTCACTGCCATGTCTACTGCTCCCCAGATGCTGCTAAACATAGGTGGGTTTCCTAAGAATCCACATCAGATACTGGAATGACAAAGGACTACACCCCTGACTAACGGCTACCTCACTGTTTCTCCTTTCTGAACCCACAGGGAGAGGAACCAGGAACAAGGACCCAGGGTACGGCTTGGCCGTCAGGTGGACAGCATGTGGGCAGACCACAGGCAGATGTCTCTGGAGAGCCTCTTGGCAGCCCTGCTGCAGAAGCACAGGTGACAAGGGTAGAGGGGTGTGCGCCACAGGTGAGGGGGCAGAGGGGAGGCAGGGAGAGATTTCTTTAGGGACTTTAGAGACTTCCTTCCCTCTGTTTCCAAGAAAAGCAGAGAATCACTTTTTCTTCACAGGTGTGGGGCCTAGTCTTCCAAGCAAAGGGACCCCCTGACCCCCGGGCCTCAGGGACAGGGAGGGGTATGTGTGAGGGGTTGCATGGTGGCCACTGCAGTGTGTCTAGTGCAGAACAAGAGGCCAGGCCCAGTGTGTCTTGAGATGTCATCAGAGCTTCTGGTATGAGTCTCAGGTCCTGAGTTTTAACAGGTGTCCAAGGGACTGTATTGTGAGTGACATGAAGGGTACACCTTGGATCTCGTGAACCTATGATGCCTGAGACAGACCAGCTTTCCATGCTCAGTGGCTGACCAGAGCAGGCGAGTGTCATGAGAGACAGAGCTGGTCACGAAGGCCACTCCCCGTCTCAATGGTCCTCAAATTTTCACCAGGAGTCAGGCAAATTGGAGAAAAATTTCCCCTTTCACCGAAGAGGAAAGTGAAGCCAAGAAGAGGCAGGGCCAAAGGGACTGGCCAGCCCAGGCTCACTATGTATACTTTGGGATATCATCCCATAAGATTCCAGTTTCCAAAGAGTGGCATGATGGTCCAGAAAGAAACGCTGTATTCTACAGCCTGACTGTAAACTGGGCCCGTGAGCTTCCAGAACAATTCTGTCGGCGCTCCTGCACCAGCCTATGAACAAGAAGTCAGTTCTATCAGAGCTGTCCATGAATTCCCTCTCTTGCCTTCTAACCTAATTAGTCGGAGCCAAGAGTGTGCCAGCTTCACCATCAGGCAGATGATCAGAGTTTGGAGGGTGGGAATCAGACTGGAGGCAGGGTGCAGGCCTGGACTCCAGACCTGGCTCTGGATCTCTCTGTCCACAATTTCTTCCTCTACAAAAGGAACAGGTGAACTTTGATGCCTTCTAAGGGCTCAAAGGCTAGAACTGTGGGACTACTGCCTCTAAGAATTCCATTCAGTGCCTCTCACCAGGCAATCTGCCTCCTTCTGGAGCCCAAAGGAAGAACTCTACAGGCCATTGTTCCCCTCCAAATATTTCAAAGGGTCTGACAGAAGTGGAGCTTGGTGGCTCATGCCTGTTATCCCAGTAGTTGGGAGGTTAAGGACAGGGAGATTAAGAGTTCAAGGCCAGAACTGGAGAGATGGCTCAGCTGTTAAAAAGAGCATTGGCTGCTCTTGCAGAGGCCCTGAGTTCACATCTCAGAACCCACATGGCAGCTCACACCATTTGTAACTGTAGTCCCATGGGATGGGATGCTCTCTTCTGATGTGCAGCATACATGGAGATAAAATACCCAGATACATATAATACATACCTAAGTAAATACAACTTTAAAACAAAAGTTCAAGGCCAGCCTGGGCTACTTAGTAAGTTCCAGGACAGCCTAAGCTATAGTATGAGACCTGCCCACCTCTGCTATCCTCCCCGACAGGAAACTGCCATTCTAGTTTAGCCATTTTTTTCACTTTGTGGCAGTCACCTAGTGAATACTGTGTGTGAAGGCCTGGGCTGGGGATCAGCAGTGTTCAGATGAGGGGTAACCTCTTCTCGGAGTCTGCATCTCACAGAGACGGTGAGGATCCCCACCTGTTCTTGTGAGGTTGCTCATTTGACTTGTGACCAACAGAAAGGTTTGTAGGGTGTGGCACATATTTGCCTGGGAAGAAGGTGGTCCTGTCTAAGGGTCAGAAGCGTTCTCATCAGAAGGGGAGTGATCAGCCCAGGGTCTCAGTGGCAGTAACCCCAGGGCAGGGGCTAAGAGTGGGGTTTATATTTCTGCAGCCCTGAGCATATTTCCTGCCTCTGGGAACCCTGAAGCTCTGTGTTTGCTTACTAGAGTCTAGACTGAGTGTCTCTTTCTTTCTGCAGCAGGGACTCCCAAGGATGAAGTCTTCAGCAGAGGCTCCAGCCACCCGTACCTCAAACACAACTGGACCCAGTTACTTCTGCTTCATTTCTGACCCTCTCCTTCCTGTAAATACAATAAAACCCCCATCCTGATCTGCATTTCAACTTCCTTTATTGTTAATCTGATTTTTTTTTAAAACATAGCTTATATGGCTATCTTTCCTAGGGTAGCATTGCAAAGTACAAGGGGTTGGAGAACTCGCTCAGTCAGTAAAGTTCTTGTAGTGCAAGCAAGCATGAGGACTTGAGTTCAGTTCCTAGTGCCCACATAAAAGTCAGGCACAGGAGGACATGCCTGTAGTTTCAGTGTGTGCATGCGTGTGTGTGTGTGGGGGGGGAGAGGGGGCTGTCGAGAAAGATGGTGATGGTTCTCTGAGGCTCACTGGCTAATCAGTTTAGGCTCACTGGCTAATCAGTTTAGTCTAGTTTGTGAGTCCCAAGACCCACTGAGAGACAATGTCTCAGAAAATAGGTGACTGCCCTAGGCTACACAGTAAATTCCAGGTCAATCTGGGATACATATGACATGGTCTAAAAAAATCCATTTTATTGCAAGTAAGCCTTAAAAATTGAGAACTGTAGCCCAGTGATGGTGGCTGTTAGGAATAAAGCTTAATGTGTTGGGACCACGGGTAGATCTCAGTCCTGGGATGAGTGATGGATGGGAAACAGAAACCTGTAGATGTGACTCATATAGAAAATTTATCGGGTGGGGGGGTAAGAAAATAAGGTAAAGAGACACAAGGCTAAGTAGCCTGCATGCAGGTGCAAAGGACCCCTTTCAAACAAAGACCCCGCCCACTTTCGCTCTCTTTCCCGCTGTTTCCCTGGGGCAGACAGGACTTTTCCTGTCTCCCTCTTCTCTTCTGTCCTCTCTGTCTGTGTGTCTCTTTACCTTATTTTCTTACCTCCCCCTCAATAAGCTTTCGCTATGAGTCACGTCTGTAGGTCTGTTTCCCCATCTGCCCGCTGTCCATCACCTGCCCCGAGATTGTGATCTTTGCAGTCCCAGTGCTGGACCGGGGACCCACCACCTGCTGTCCCAACTCATTATTCTTTATTCCTAACAGTGGCAAACCCCTTTAATCCCCAGCACTAAGGAGGCAGAGACAGGTAGATCTCTGTGAGTCCATGGTCAGTCTGATCTCCACAGTGAATTCCAAGACAGCCAGAGTTACATAGACAGACCTTGTCTTGAAAAACAAAAACAGAAACAAATAAACAAAAAAGACAACTGTGAAGCCTGGATGATGGGATGTCTGGAATAATTGATTAAAAGTGTAAAAGTACCCACAGCATTTAAAATTAGATGGGACTCCTACCTCTTAGTTTTCCCAGCCAGCCTCGTTCACTGCCAGCAGGAAAGGGAAGCACTTGACCTCAGTCCTGGGAAGCCTGCAGCCAGGTCTCAGATCTCCCAGCACCAGGGCTATGAGAGACCACCTGCTCCCCCACCCGCAGCCTGGACAAGCAATACAAAGCGTGGGAAATGCACTGTAGGAGTCCTTTCGGTGCGGTTGGAGGAGACAATGAGAACAACGGGAAACAAAAGCTCCTCCAGAGAAGGCTAGACCAGAAGAGCAGGCAGAGGCAGGAGGCGGGGAACCCGCCAAGGTCTGGGACAAAGAGAGGCTGAGCTGAATGGGAGCCCCACACCCGTCTCTCCTCCCCTGGCCCCACCTGCTCATCTCTTTCCCTGCCCTGTCCCAACAAACACAAAAACACCGGGCTCTCTCAACTTTCAATGAGTTTTTCAGATGAAATAATGGCCGCTGAGAACCGAAGCTACTTGTGGGTTTTGAGGTGAATGCAATTACAGAGGGCAAAACCACTGCAGCAGCCCTGGGCTTTGTGTCCATGAGCAGAGACACTAATGATTGCTTAAAAGACAGGTCCTCTCCATAGACGAGCTGGGCGCTCCCCACTCCTGAGGGGCCCTACTCAAGACTGATGTTTTCTAATCAATGGAGGACTTGTCCCTTTCGTGTTCGTATTAAGTTGGAGTTTGCAGGAAGACTCCCCCCATTGCTCCATACAACCGTCCTTTGGAGTGGGCAGAACCCTGCTTATTGGCAGGCTGCCCACCAATGCAGACGTACCGGGTCACAGCAAAGCCAGGGGCTGATGGCTGTGGGAAGGGGTGTGCTCTTTGTGGTTCCTCAGAACTATGAGCTGGAACACCAAGTGACTTAATCAGCACAGGTAGACTTGCAACAAACTGCTCACTGGGCTTCTATTGACCGTGTCCAGGATGTCATGCTCATGACAGGTGCTTTTGATTTATGATGGGGACACCTGATTGAAACCTGGGAAACTACCAGAAAATAAGAGATAGTCAAGGGCTGTGACTGGTGGTTCATTTTATGATCCAATACTAGGGAGACTGAGGCAGGAGGGCCATGAGCTTCAGGTCAACTTGGGCTACATAGTGGGACCTTCTCTCTCTCTTTTGGTTGAGATGTGGATTCTCTGTGTAGCCAACTGTCCTGGAACTGGTTCTGTAGACTAGGGTGGCCTCAAACTCACAAATCCATCTGCTTCTGGCTCTTGAGTGCTGGGGTTAAATACTGCACCACCACCTCCCAGCTCAGACCCTGTCTCAATGAACATTTCATAGTCCTGACTTAGCTAGGGAGAGGATTCAGTCGTAAAGTGCTGGCTGTGAAAGCAGGACTCCAGCTGGATTCCCCAGTGCCAATAAAAACGCCAGGCATGGTGCCGACTCTAACAATCCTGCAGAGGGGGAAGAGCTAGGCAGATCTCTGGGGCTCAGTGACCAGTCAAGCCCACTTGGCCAGTGGGGAGTTAAAATGGTTGTGAGCTGACCCATGTGGGTACTGGAAACTGAAGTTGGGAGTCCTCTGCAAGAGCAGTGTGTGCTCTTAATCACAGAGCCATCTCTCTGGCCCGTCAAAGTACAGGTTTTTTAAAAATAAAATCTCATTTGTGTGTATCTGTAATTGTGTGTGCATGGGGGCCAGGGGTTAGCTTCAGGGATTATCTACCTTGTTTCTGAGACTGCCTCTTGCTGGCTTGGGGCTCACAGACTATGCCAGGAGTTCTGGAGATTTGCCTGCTTCTTCAGTAATGAAATTACAAGTATATTCATCATTTAGCCACGGGTACTGGGGTCAAACTCAGGTTCTCATGCTTAAACTATAGACAATTTATGCACTGAGCCATTTTCCTAGCCCAAATGTCTTTTTTAAATGTTGGCATCTAGTTGAACTAGTAACTACCATGGATAAAACAAAATACTCATAGGTCACTGGTTTGCAGCCTTTGGAAGAAGCAAGGCCTACAACTGCAGAATTCCAGATAGAACTTTCCTAGAGTTCCAGGCTCGCCTTTCCCTTCCCCAGCCAAACTCCAATTTCCTCACAAAGGCAAAATCCAGTTAGCCTACAAAGCAACCTTTAGACTCCAAATTTAATAAAGATTCTAAGATATAGCTCTAACTAGTCTGGATCTCATATTCTGCCTGCTTCAGCCTGAGTGGATTACAAGCATTAAAGACAATGGGCCAAATTTCAGTCACATACATTTGTTTTTATTTTTTATTTTTTTTATTTTTTTTGGTTTTTACGAGACAGGGTTTCTCTGTACTGTTTCGGAGGTTATCGGTCCAGCCTGGCCTCGAACGCACAAAGATCCGCCTGCCTCTGCCTCCCGAGTGCTGGGATTAAAGGCGTGCGCCACCACCGCCCGGCACATTTGTTTTTAAAATATCACTATTTGTGAGTTTGTGAGAATTCAGTTCTACCTGTTGAGGCAGGGTTTCTCTATGTCCTCCAGGTTAGCTGTTCACCACTGTCCAGGTGAGTCTCCTGTCTACTCCCACATTACTGCAGGAGTGCTAGGATGACAGACGTTTACCCAAGGGGTCAGCGTTACGGTTTGAATTAGAGTCCCTCTATACTCACGTTAGAGGAATCCCCAATGCATGGCATGAACACAAGTGTATGGATTATCACCTTCATTCAAGGGCCTGGGGAAATTAGCTAGCTGCTTTTTGTCATTCTGTCCCTTCCGTCATTGGGAATACTGAGACAGCACCAACATCATCTGGAGGGAAGAGTCTCTCTCACTGTGTATCAAATGTTCTAGTGCCTTCAAGTTCTAGTTCCCAAGACTGTAAGCTCTGTCTACCTATCTTGTTATTTATAAATTATTTAGCTATCCACCTATCTTACTGTTTATAAATTATCATTTTACCGTTTCTAAATTACCCACCTACTACTTCATGGAATGGACTGAGGCAGGCAGCTTTCTTTTTTTAAGACAATTCTGATTCTTCCCTACACACCAAGCCCAAACTTTCAAGGCAAAAGCCCAGAACAGGTCTTTGTGGCTGAACACAAAGGGTCTGTACTTCCTGAGTGTGCTCCTACCAGGTGCTCACTGCTGGAGCAGAAAGGACAAGGCTTTTCTGGGCCACTCTCAGTAGTGTTAAGAAAGAGGTGAGAAGGGCCAATCAGTGACTGCCGAGACACTAATAACCCAGGCCCAGCCACACCCTCACGGTATATACTCTGGGCTCCGCAATGGGAATAAAGTCTCAGTCAGATCTTTGTTCCCATCTTCATTCTCTTTATTCCAAAGTAAATGAATTACAGAGTCCAACTTTTGAAATGTAACAACATTTGGGATAGTCACAGCATCTTGCCAGGCATCATGACAAAGGGACAGTCAATCTGGGCCCAAACGTATCTGCTCTGTAAAACAGAAAGTGAGAAACAAGTAAAAGTGTAACCACATCTCAACTTTTTACTTTTTTAAATGACAGATTCTTTTCATTTTGTTTTGTTTCCCCTTATTCCTCCTTTCGCATTATGAACTGTCTTCACTCCTTGCTAAGCAATCATTTCAGTTTGCAGGGTCTTCAACCTTCTTCAGGAACTAATGTGCTGTTCTGGAAGAAAATGAAGACAAAACACAATTACTGATGGTTGCAACAGACAGTTATGGTTCTTAAGTGGGACAACAGGGAGATCAAGATATTCTCCCACTGGAAGATGTTATTGACAAGGGGACAGCCCTGTATCTACTGGTTCCATTTACATATGCTTCATCTCATTTCAAAAAAATAACTGAAGCCCATGACAGTTTGAAAACCAGGAAGCAAACCTGACAACTAAGGAAGGAGCATGAGGAGGTACAGGTGAGGTAATTCCAGGCACACCCTCACAGTACAGGCCGAAAGATGGGAGCGTTCAATCATAACAACAGAGACAAGTGTAACCGGGCCAGTACAGACTCTGCACCTAACCTAATACAGAATGAGGAAGGAAGATGGCACTTGGCTCACAAAAACCATCGCTTGGTTTTAGTTTTTCTTTTTGGTGTGTAGGCTGTTTGGTTGGTTGGTTGGTTTCAGTGGTTTTTGTTTGTTTGTTTGTTTTGTTTTTGAGGTAGGGTCTTGTTATGTAGCTCAGGCTGGTTCAAAACTTGTGATCCTCCTGCCTCAGCCTCTTGAGTGCTGGGATGCATGCACACTTCTCAGATGAGACAAGCATCTCTCTGCCACTTCCCCCACCTTCCCCTGACTATAAGAGCTGTGGAAGCATGAGAAGAGAAACTGATAATCCAAGTGACAGCGGCGAGCACACGGCAAGCAGAAGCAGCACACTACATTCTCAGTGGGCAGTGGGGTCACAGTGAGGACTAGCGAGATCGTGCCAGTCTCACAGAGTGGCAGGCTGCAAACCCATCACTAAAGCAGTTCCCAGAAAGGCACACGGGCACAGTGTTGGGTCCTGAGGACCAGAGTGTGTGCCTCTAATCCTTTCCCAATGCTCAGAAATCCCTAACACTAGGGTGTGTGCCTGGCAATGGCCATGCTGGAAGGACAATTCGTATTGCAGAATTAGCAACTCTGGACCTTGGCCAAGAACTGAAACCATCCAGTATACCCACTTAAACCAATATGTGGCTTCAGTTGAAAGCACTGAGCCACAGGCGTTAAGTCTGCACACTTGGTCCCTGTCCCCACAAGTCCCAAAGGCTCCAACAGTCTGACTTGAGGTCAGGAGGAGTCAGGGTTTTCAGAGTCAGAGTAAAGAATGAAAGAACTCAACAAGTCGCAAAGGACTAGTTCTGAAAGCAAACACCTCAGACAGAGCAACAAGAATCAAGGGCAAAGTTGAATGAGGAAGGCCAGGGTGCAGGGTGGTCAGAGGGAGGGACAGCCCACACAGGCACAGGAGAGCCTCTTAGACTGTAATGAGTCTATCTCACTAAAGCAGCAGTCACAGGACTACATGCTTAGTTTTGGTTGTCTATTCATTACTTATGTATGTAGACACAGGGCCTTCTATAGCCCAGGAGATAGTAAACTCCTCATCCTCCTGCCTCTGCCTTCCAAATGCTGGGATTACAGGTGTAAGCTACCAAGTCTGGCATCACACCTTGCTTAAACCTGAAAACAACAACAAAATAATCCCCTCTTAAAAAAATGCCACTTTCTCTCTGTATTAAGGACAAGGTGACCCAGCTTATACGCAACACTGCACTGAAAAAGCTCTAAGTCTGGTTTTGTTGACTTTCCTATTTTCAGAGGATTAAAACTTAGGTGTGCTGGGATCTGCTTGCTTTCTTTGGCAGGGAAAGCTATTTCCCAGGCAAGGGATAAAAGGGGACATGATGTGAAAATTAAAATACTTCCTTCCTACTTGTGGTTTAAGGCAGAGGTCAGCCAACTATGTCACACAGGCCTAATCCTGCCCACTTGTAGGTTAGGGAGGTGGTGCTCCTGGGTGGCAGCCACACCCTCATTTGCATGGTCCATGGGCTTACATGACAGTGCTGGATTGAGGGAGAGGAGTAGTTGTGACACAAGGGCCCAAAGCCACTCAGGGCCCCTCATCTACAGGAGCAGACCCATGGAGCAGCACCCTGCCTTTGCTCTGGTCCTCACGACTCTGCCTCCTCAGCAAGAGCCCTCAGGAGGAGGCCAGTGTGTGCCTTACCCTGAGCGCCAGACACAATTCTGCTTTGATCCATGCCATCAGTCATTCGCAACTGAATCTCACCATATCACATGGTTCGGCCAAGTGGAGATCAGGGTTTATGGAAAGGCCAAGAAGCAGTGACAAGGTGTGCCAGGAGTTGCCATGGGACCATTGTTTACTGGATCCACATAGTCGGGGTGGATGACAGGGGTCAAGAAACCCAGATTAGACTGTCGTACCCTCAACTCTTGTTCTCACACAGGGTTACTGTATATTCACCAGCACCCCATGGAGAAGTTGCCCTGGTTCAGCCACAATCTCATTCAGCAAGCTGTAAAACGGCCTCAGGATTCCCCCTGGTGTAGGGAACGGTGGGGAGGAACAAGCAGGCTGAAAACAGGACAGTAACCAGCATGCAGGGAGTGGGCAAGATAGGAAAGGGAGCCTGCTTCTGGGACGAGGCGCCCTTCATCTTTACCGTAGTGTCCTATATTTTGCCAATCTACTGCTCTGCTCTGCAGCGATCCTGCCAAAGGAAAGAGGGTTTGAGAAACAAGAAAGGACAGCGAGAGAGAACAAGCTGAGGACACATATGGTAACCCGACCAGAACTCCCGTCAAGACCAGTCCTCTTCCCAGACAGCACAGGCTCTGGATTTGTGAAGGGGGGGGGCTGAGGGGGCTGGGCCTCTAATGAAAGGCGTGGCTCTTTCCAGCAAGTGCATACAAGTTGGGATTCACAGGAATTCCTACTGCGTGGACTCTATAGGAAATGGTTTCCTCACACTGCTCTCCCCGTGACCTCACTGGTCTCATGGACAATTTTCAGAGAAGAAGTTACAGAGCTCAGCTTTCTGCTCTTTGGGAGATCAGAACAGTTGTTGCAAAGGAACAGCGTTCTGTTTGGGAAAAACAACCAAGCCCTGGCCTTTTGTAGCTGCAGAGCACAGTGGCAGGAGAGTGAGGCAGCTACCGAGGGCAGCTCTGAGGGATCCAGATGGGCACAGGGAAGTCAAGAATGTTTGCACAGGAGCTCATGGTCAGGCAGCTACCGAGGGCAGCTCTGAGGGGATCCAGATGGGCACAGGGAAGTCAAGAATGTTTGCACAGGAGCTCATGATGAGGCACTCCAAAGCTCAGAATGAGAACCCCCTCCCTGCCCAGTGGTCTCCTTGATAACACCCCTCTTGGATCAAACAGATCTAACTGGCTGCGTGTTTAAGGGCATGCTACTGAGTTCCATTCTGCCAGCATAAGTCCCAGAGGGGAGAAAATGGGGTGCGTCTGAAAATGATTTCTTTCAAAGGTGAAAGCAATTCTGACCTTTTCTTATTGGCCTTTGCATGGCTGAAATCAGCCAGGTTCTAATAAAGTCAAATCAATGGGAAACACCTGTGTGACATTTAAATTTGCCTCCAATTCTGTTCTGAAAGTCAAGCTGTCACCGCGTCAAGGTCGAAGCATTTATCTGCCTCTCAGGCTGTCTGACTCCTGGGCAGCAGGGTGGGCTCCTGAGTGGATGCTTCTGTTGGGAGCTGCTGCCAAGCCCACACAACTGCCCAGGGGCAGAACACAAACCTATGGGTGGGAGGAAGAGCTCTGGCACCGCTCAGAGCCCAGAGGTGCCACTCTGGGGGCATAGGAGGAGGGCAGGGCAAGAAGGAGGATTTTCACACAGCCAGCAAGTTAACAGCTCTATACCACTTATATAACACACTTTAGTTGACATAACGAATGTGTAGGGTAACTGGTCACGAAGGTTACTTTCCTCTTTAAAAGACCTGCTTATGGTTTCTCTAACAGGCTGCATGAAGGTGTCAAGACTTGTCCCTAAGCATGTCAATCATTCTGCCACAGAGGTTTGTGGTCTCCGAGCTAGGCTGGCAGTGCCCACACGAACATGTCTTATCCCACCCCGGAGCTTGGTCCACCCCTAGCCTTACCTCTTAACGGCCTGCTGGGCCAGCATTCGATTGCCAGCCAGAAATGTCACGGTGCCCAGGACAGCCAGGTACTTCAGGGTCTGGAACATGTTGAGCTGAGTCCAGTAGACATACATGAGCCCCAGCATTGCTAAAAGAAATGTCATGACATCCAATTACATGAAGCAGTGACAATGGGGAAGGAAGTAAGGAGCAGGGCCTGTTGTCATAAAGGCCAGTATTTCTAGGCAGTTTTTATGTTTAACCCTTTATCTCAACAGCAGAGAGTGGATGACTCTATACTTGCTTTGTTTACCAAGAAATCTCAAGGTAAAAATCTGACTTCAGCTACTTTACCTCTCTCTGATCTACAGGCCTATTCCTGTCTACTTTCTGTTTCCTTCATTTGGGCTATGTCTTTACTTAATAGTATCTGAATCATCATTTTTTGTTTCAAAATTTTTAAAAAATATTTATTAATTTGTTATGTATACAATGTTCTGTCTGCATGTATCCATGCAGGCCAGATGAGGGCACCAGACTACATTACAGATGGTTGTGAGCCACCATGTGGTTGCTGGGAACTGAACTCAGGACCTCCGGAAGAACAGGCAGTGCTCTTAACCCCTATGCCATCTCTCCAGCCCCTTGTTTCAAATTTTTAATAAAAATATTCAGAACATAAACCAATTAGTCATTTCCTTTTCATTAGAATCATTCCAAGAATGATTTGGCACTATGGCGAGGATGTGAGCAGAGAGGCCTGGGAAGCTCAGTGGAATTCGGTCAGTTATGTTTCTCAGACACCAAATTAGCTTACCATCAAAATGAATCACAGTTCCTGCCCCAATCACTGTCATCAGGGTTGAATAATGAGAATCAAACGAGGAAATACATACAAAAGCAGACTGGCCTGGAAAGTCATGACTCTAAATACATTTCTATTCAGATCTTGCTCCTAGCCTGACCCAGGAGGGCTGTCATTCAAGTCCAGTAACTAAGTGGGGCAAAAAGGCCATCCTGTCACTTTTGCTCAGGGTGACAGATGAACTAACTACCACAGGGATGTTTAAGCATTTTTGAGGGCAGGGACCACTGTGAGAATCTGATCAAAGTTACAGACTTCCTTCCCTCAGAAAAATACAGATGCACATTTGCCTGGAATGTCAAGAGACTCTATAGACCCCTGGAGTAGCCATGTATGATGGATGCGGAGATGGTGACTCCTTGGAGAGGCAAAGGAATTAAAATACTGAACTTTCCAGTGAAATATAAAGGCTTGGAAATGCTTAATGATCTGGGAATTTACTGCCTTGTTATGTTATGCTTAGGTTGTTTAGGATCTACACCCTCCAAAGAGCAATGGAGGACAGTGCGTCTGACAGAGGTAGGGGATTGATTCTATTACTGTCCACAGAGAGTCACCAGCAAATGTGAAGATTGATGTGGTGGGGAAAGATAACCTTTGGAAACTGTATTAAATGCTCTTCATCCAGGAAGATGGCTCAGTGTAAAGACATGCTAAGTGAGTAATCTCTGGAAATGAACAGGGCTATTAAATGAGGGCAAATGGTTTTTGTCACAGCCCCTCCAGTACAATGAAGCCCAATAGAGTGACAGCTGTTCTAAGCTGATGGACCAAACAGGCTTATCATCATATTAACTGTCCTAAAAGGTCCAGGAGGAAGAGGGAAATGTTATACTATTAAGCCATTATAGTTAATAGGTTGTGGACCTACTTAACAGGACATTTTTGTGGGCAGGCAAAATGTCAGAGGGGGTTAAACAGAATTAGCAGCCTGGGGCACTTACCAGCGTGTCCCAGGTGAAAGATAATTGTGCTAGGAGCAAAGGTGAAGTTGGAGATATTGGCACCAATCCGGATCCACTGAATGACGGAGAAATAAATGAAGATTAGAAGGAGAAAGAGTGAGTTCCATACTATGTCAATACCAATCCAACAGTGAGCACCAGAGTTTCAAAGTTCACACACGCTAGAAAGACAGGGACTTTCCCAGCTACTTGAGTCCTCAGGAAGAACCGACCCTTTCCCTTCTGAAAGGCAACAGAGCAGCTGCTCTCAACTGTGCTTGGGTAACTCAAACCTGAACATCCTTTTCAACTATGGCAAACTCTTCTATTTTAAAAAGAACAAGACCATGGAGCTCTGAGGTGAGAAGCTACACTGACGAGGAAGTGACTGATACTCCCACTAAGTTCTCTACGGTTGCCATCAATAGGCTACAGGCAGCAGGAACACGCTCTCGTGATGGACTCCATCCCAATGCAAGAGCACCCACACCCCAGGTCTGCTTATAAAAGCTTGCAGCGTGCTTTCGATATTTAATCACTGCTCATTGTTGGAAATCAACCAGTTAATTTAAGACAGGTAACCTGTCAGAAATAATATCTAAAATTTTGTTTTTTGTTTGGCCAAAATCTCTGAATTTTGAGGTTATAGACCTATGTTTATGGTTTTCAGAGAAAGAAAGGAAAAAATTTAATTGGTTAAAATATATAAATCAAGTCTTGCCTGGTGGCACATTTAATTCTAGCACTCTGGAGGCAGAGGCGGGTGATCTCTGTGCGTTCAAGGTCAGCCTAGTCTACATAGCCAGTTCCAAGACAGTCTTTAAAAAAAAAAGTATACATAAACCAGGTGTAGTGGTGCTCACCTTTAATTCCAGCACCTGGGAGACAGAGGCAGGGGGATATCTGAGTTCCAGGTCAGCCTGGTCTACAGAGCGAGTTCCAGGACAGCCAGGGATACACAGAGAAACCCTGTCTCAAAAAAAAAAAAAAAAAACCCACAAAAAAAAAAATCAAAACCCCAAACCCAAACCAAACCCAGACACACATGTATGTATGTATACACACACCACACACACACTTAAACACACAAATAAACGTTACTATTTAAATTAGGAATGTCTTCCCTTTACAGCCTCCAAGTCTCCTCCTTAGAGGTGACATTAATGTAGTTTAAAAACCTTTCCACAGAGAGGATTACACTAAACGTATACACCTACCTCCTTGTCCGCCTCTTTTTGTAACACCTGTTGACATCAGTGTACAGATCTATCACTCTGCTGACTGGCACACCGTCCCATTGTGTAGGCAGACTAATTAACACCGCTTCTTAAGCGGACTTTTGAGTTCACTCTGGTTTCATGCTCCCAGGAGATCTGGAATGCATAGCCTCTTCTCCATTCTTAAAGCTATCAACACTGACCTCAATTTTTTTCTTTTTTCTACACTTGATCTCATCTGAACACTCCCTCAGAAGATCTCGGACTGTACACTTTTGTCACTGTCAGTAGCTGGTAGGAATTTTCTCATGCTCCCTTCTTAATGCATGAGTTTATTTGGCTGCCCCCCACCCCTGCCCTGTGGGGAATTCTGGTTATTCTAAAACTTTCTGACTATTAGTTCAAGTCCCAGCTGCTGGACCCCTCCAGAGCTGTACTTAGGCAGAGCACAAAGACTCTTTTGGAATGGCTACATCTGTCTTCCTCGAGCCAGACACACTGCCCATGCTAATTACTCACCAGTGCAAAGAGCAGGAGCAAGGGCGAGAGAATGAGGGCTGTGAACGTATTGGACACCACGGTGGGGGGCCTCTTCTCAGGCTCTCGGAACAGGTGCTGACAAGAGAAGACACACCAGGAAGTTTCAGAATGTACTCTTCTCAGCAGGGGCTGCCTGTATACCAGGGACCAAGTGTCAACCATCGTGGAGAGGAAATGCCTCCTAGAGGCTAAGCCTTTGGTTGGCATTACGCCGTTTCTCAGAGGCGGCTTCTGATCCCGAGGTCTCTCTTCCTAGGACACTATTTTGGTTTCAGACAGTATACGGCCAGCCTTTCTACCTCAAAAAAATCACTGCCATTTAGAGGCTGGAGGATACAGACCACCAAGGGCCACCTGGCTTGTGTCAAAAGGAAGCTCAGTCCTAGGGATGGCTTGGATGTTACACCCAAGGAGGACTATAAACTTCAAAATGCTTCTGGGTTCCTAGGTCATGTTACTTGGTCAACAACAGTAACTCCACCCCCCCCTTTAAAATTTAACAGGGCCTATTACAGATGGTCCACCCTCAACTCACACTTTAATTCTCCAGCCATGGCTCTACAGATGGTCTGAACAGACCTCCCTCACCAGCTCTGCTTAACTTGTAGAGGAAAACCACAAAGCTGGCTAGAACGCCTCTGAGCAACCAGACAGTGAATTCTGAGCAGATCCCCTCAACAGCACGAGCTAGTACAAGCAGCAACGATCTACTTAGGCCCAGGTAGAGGTTTGGTCATGAGACTAATGGCATGTTACTCTTTGACTCAGTTTCTAGGTAAAGAGTTTCTAGGGACAGCCATGATCATTCGGCTTGTAAAAGATCCTCTAAGGAACAAATGAGCTGTAACACTTGTGTACCCCTCTTTTCAAATATTTGTCCTGCAGTACGTAACTACGGCCTCCTTCCCACTTGTCAATGAGCAGTCAACACAGCTCTATGAGAAGGCAGCCCTCCTTGAGGCTGCAGTCCCTGAATTGTCACCTTGGCTCCTCTTGCTGACACTATGTTAAGGGGATCGCCAATGCTGTCTATAGTGGCTGCTGTAGATCACCCAGCCCCCTTTACTGTCACAGATAATACTGCTGTGTAAGTGTACTTTACAAGGATTTAGAAACAACCCTCTACTCTCTCCTTGAGCACTTATCCTTTATTTCATTAGTTGGAACTCATGATTCTGCTACAACTCTGACTGAATCTCCCAACTGCAGAGTAGTCCACCGAGGAACCCACCTCATTTCCTTGATAACTGTGTGTATATTCTATGAAGGGTTTCAGAGATACTTAAATTGCCTTTCTTTCCTTATCCATGTTGGTCTTCACAACATCCCATGGGCTGGGTAGAGCTTGCTTATTTTGTGTTGCAAGGAACAGGAGTAGCCTGAGACAGACAAGGACCTGCCTAGAGTGGTAAAGCCCTGCTCCCCCCTACCCCGGTTTGAGTTTTTAGCTGCTAATCAAGACTATTTCAGATGTTAGTCAGTAGAGAGGATGACAGCTACACCTGTTTGTGCCTCAGACCACCCAGTGGTAGTCTGGGATCTGATCTCATCTCTCCTGTACTTTCAGCTAGAAGGTGGGACCACTAACTTGCCCTGCCCAAGTCACACCATAAAGCACCATGCAAACAGACTGAAAGGGCCAGAGTCACAGCCCAGAAGTTTGCTGTCTCTCCCTGGGTCCACATCAGCTCTGGGCTCAGTGGATATAGCATCTTTGGAATATACCTGAATTTCCTGCTTTGGGGTAAAGAGGCTCTGGGACACAACAGTGGAGGGAGCTTCTTCTTCAGGGAACTTGATGACCACATCAGCCTGAAAAACAACAACAGTTTTGAGGCACAGCATGAGAGGAGGGCGGAAGCTACGCCTGAAAAGACTCTGCCTGTGCAGTCCAATCACTTCTCACCCATTAGTCGACAATCAGAGGCACTGAAAATCTCAGGAACAAACCTAGCATTTGCCCAAAGTGCCTTTTAGAGCACGGATTCCAATTTCCCACTAGTAGAGCGGGAAAGCCCCCAACGCTGCTTAATATGAAAACCCCAGCTGGTGTGCTGGTGGCTACAGCAGTAATCAGAAACTGCCAGGTGTCCTGGGAAGTGTGCTTTAATCACATAAAAAAGTGAAAATGCACTCTCGTACAAAGGTATCTTCAAGTCCTAGAGAAGAAAAGGAAAAAAGCAGCTGCCCTCTCACCCTGCATGAAGACCAGCCCTATCTGAATGCTGTATCTGCCCTCTGCCATTTCCTATCCCATCACTTTCTGCTCCTCCACCAGACTCAAAGTTCAGAAAAAGACAACTCTGAAAGCGCACTGAGCTTCTCTGGAGGCTGCTCCTCAACTTGTGCTCCCAGATGCTATTCCAGGAAGCCCTGTGATGCCTCAATTCCTTGCTCCAAAGTCATCTTTCAGGAAGTTTCTGTTATAAGAACTATTAAATAGTGAGACCTATAAGGGAAGAGCTGTGTAACCTATAATATAATCATAACTGCTGGACATTATTTATTAGCATTCTGTACACCTACCATTCACTACTCACTGCCCTCTGCCTCTCCAGGCTATAACAGATCTCAAGACCATACTTCTTCATCTAGGTATAGTGCCTTGATGTAGTAAGAAAACCTCTTTCTGACAGATTATAGAAGTTCAAGGGAACTGTATATTTCATTCATTTGATCAGTACTTACTAAGCATCCACTCTGCACTAAGCCACAGAGTGTCCTTGCGCAGAGCAGAACACAGGGCCTCCCAGCAAGGCTGTCAGTGTGAGGCCCAGTACAGCAATCCTCACCTACGCGCCTATCAGGCACATACCACATTCCAGAGGATTGGGTTCTTCAAAGTGGCATCTCCGATGATTAAGTACAGTGTATAGGTGCCAGAGGCAGAATCAAACTCGATCTTTCTTTCAGAGGTATCCAGTTCAAACTTATACACATTCTTGTTATCTGGTTCAGCAACAAACACCACTTCCTGGCCAGTCTTTTGGTTATGAAGTCGAACAAATGTCTGGAGAGAACAACAACAACAAAAAAACACCTTCCATATGAGCATCTCAGAACTCCCCATGGGCCCAACACTGAATCAGCCAGGAACAGAGTGCTACTCTTTTGTCATAGTGAGAACTCTGACCTGCTGAGAGGGGAAGAAGCAGTCATCTTACACTAGTTCCTACCCTGCAGACAACTTTTTTGCTTGACAAGGAGAGAAACTGAACTTAGGAGTCCAGCCAACGCTCAATGACCGGGAAGCTGAATGCCCAGTGTGGGATAATTTGCCCTCTGCTGCAACTGCAGTTTCTTCTGGCCACTTTGCTCCCCATTAGCTTCTTCAGCAGAGGGTGAAGAGAAGGGAGACGAGGTGGAACTGCGAGAGGCTCACTTCCAATTTCCTAGTGTTTCCAGCTCAACATGCAGCTATGGACGCTCTGCAGAGTTCTAATGGAATGGTGCAACCTGGTGACACAGACAGCTTGGCCCTCAAGACAGTGACCTGGCTCCATCACTTGGTAGCCAAATAGGTTACTTACCCTCCTTGTACACTGACTTCTTTGAGGGACACATACTAACTTCTTGCTGCATCTGTATGAAGATTTTGTAATAATGTGTGCAAAACATGTAGTGTGGTATGAGCCACCCAACAACCAAGCACCTGCAGCTACCCAGTCTTAGTACAATGAGTCTAAGGTGCCATCAGTTACGGCATAAGAAACTAAGGTCTTATGCCAATGGGTGTTAGAACTGCAACAAAATTGAATATTCATGCAAGGATTTCCTTTCAAGGGCTTCAAGACAAAGAACTCAACAAGACAAGTGGTTGGCTACAATTTACAGATTTTAAGGCAAGAGCATTAAATGAGTTGCCATAGTGACACAGCTAGTGCTGGACCTACGCATAAAGCATAAATCTCACTTGCAAGTCCACACATCAAATTACTGAAGGGATGCCATGATGAGGAGCATCCCAGCTATAGCAATCAGTCTTATCCAGGGGTGGGAAGATGCCTGCCTTCCACCTGGACTGCCATACTCATCTTCAAGATGTCACACCTATGTAATCACAAATTACAGAAAGAACCCAGGAAAATCCAGTCAAAGCCTCATTTCCTTACGTTTTCTTCCCGACCTCCAGCCCTCCCAATTTAAGTCTTCTGATTTCTTCTCTTCCTTTTCTTCCTGGGTCTATGTGGTTGGCAAATGTCCTAGGACAGAACTAGGAAATGCTGACAGGCTGAAGTTCTTTTCTTTTTTTCTTTCTAAGACAGGGTTTCTATGTATCCCTTGCTGCCCTGGAACTTGCTCTGTAGATCAGGCTGTCCTCAAACTCAGAGATCAGACTGTCTCTGCCTCCCAAATCTTGGGATTAAAAAGGCATGTGCCACCACTACCTGGCATGAGAGGCTAAGGTTCTTAAAAGTCAGTATGGGCACAGGACCTGGCTAAGCCACCTGAAGTTTGGGGGTGAAATAATAGCCAGGACTGTGGTACTAGAGGCACAGGTACAGCATCTAGAGCCACAAGAAACAGGGTCTGCAAATAAACCCACTTTGGCGGTCCACTGCTAACATCAGTACAGTGCACCAAACAAAGGCCATTTTGACAATGTTTTTCAGCACTCAATGTTTTTACCTAAAATTCCCATCTAACTATGTGCCAGAGTCAAGAGCAGCTCTTGAGGACTGAAAGGGACGAGAGAGATGGGAAGCTGGGGGACGACAGGTGATTCATGCGGAATCCGGTTTACAAATCTTTTAAGCTCCTTTTAAAAAAATCTTTATTGTGCCAGGCAGTGGTGGCGCACACCTTTAATTCCAGCACTCGGGAGGCAGAGACAGGCGGATCTCTGTGAGTTCGAGGCCGGGCTGGACCAATAGCCTCCGAAACAATACAGAGAAACCCTGTCTCATAAAAACCAAAAAAAAAAACAAAAACAAAAAACAAAACAAAAACAAAAACAAAAACAAAAACTTTATTGTTGCCAGCTGGTGGTGGCACATGCCTTCAATCCCAGCACTCTGGAGGCAGAGGCAGGTGGATCTCTGTGAGTTCAAGGCCAGCCTGGTCTACAGAGCTACATAGAGAAACCCTGTCTTGGGAAAAAAGTCTTTATTATTGTGTGTGAGAGAGAATGACTTATGCACGGGACTGTATGGCACCATGTGCTGTTTGGAGGTCAGAGATCAACTTTGTGTAGCTGTTTCTCTTCCGCTGGATTTATATTCTAGAAAGGACAAGCTTGTGTAACAAGAGCCTTTACCCACTAAGCCATCTTACTTCCTCTCTTATAAACTCCTTAAAATCCTGAGTTAAATTCTACGCACTATGAATTTTTTTTACATTAAAAACACAAGGGTTTTTTGTTGTTGTTTATTTGTTTTTGGTTTTTCAAGACAGGGTTTCTCTGTATAGCTCTAGCTGTTTTGGAACTTGCTTTGAAGACCAGGCTGGTCTTGAACTCAAGAGTTCCAACTGCCTCTGCCTCTGCCTCCCAAGCACTTCTATCTGGCTAAAAGCATATGGTTTTTACAAGGTTTTAGTTGATACTAATGTACACTGTAGTAGAAGAACAACTTCCATTGTTAGATGGATATAACAGAACTGGAAAGAATATGGGAGAAAAGTAAATATTTAAAAATGGAGAAGTGGGGGTTGGAAAGATGGGTAAAGCATTGATGCGTAAGCAAGACTGGAATTCAGTTCCCTGGAACCCTGGTAAAAGCCAGATAGGCATGATGGTCCACCTGTACTTCTAGCAGGAAATCCTGAGAGTGAGCCAGCTAGGCAGAGCACTGAAAAGCAAGCTGCAGGCCTGTGAGAGACCCTGCCTCAACACACAGTGGACAGTGATAGAGGAAGACATCCAACACCAACCTCGAATCCCTACACGTGCTGCATATACATGTGAGCATACATACACAAAACGGGGAGGGGGAATGGCCAAGTTCTGGGATTACAAGTAAGACTGTAAGTACTGGAACAATGCAAAGAGTTCCACATGGGGCTTACAGTTACCTGCAATCACTAGTCTGATGCTCTCCTCTAGCCTCCACAGGCACCAGGCACACATGTACATACTCACATGAAGGCAAAATAATCATACATATAATTTTTTTTAAAAAATTTAAATCAAAATACATAATGCCTTTTGCTTTTATAATGTAAAATAGGCACAAAATTGAAAGGATATTTTTCAGAGTCCCACAACAGAAAATCTACTTTGGCAAGAACAAAAAAAATTTTTTCTTTGACTAGGTTTTCCATTTTTCAAAATTGTTTCAAGCCACAGTGGTAGCTTGTATGTTTGATCCCAACATTCAGGAAGCAAAGGCAGATGGATCTCTGAGTTCCAGGACAGCTAGGGCTACACAGAAAAATCCCATTTTGGAAACAATACTCCACCCCCCAAAAAAATGTTTCAAAGTATTACTTTTTAAAAAAATTAACCCCCCCAAGAGTTAATTTGCCTTAAATACATCTTCTAAATACTTTAACATTTTTATTTACTTAATTTTATTAAAAAAATTTTTACTTCATTTTATATATCTGTTTTGTCCATGAGCATGAATGAGAATTGCCTGTGCGCCTGTAGCTGTGGAGACTGGAAGGAGGTGCTGGAGCCTCTGGCACTACAGTTAGACAGCTGTAAGCAGCCATGTGTGTAAATGCAGGAAGCCAAAGCCTGGTTCTCCACAGAAGCAGTAAGAGCTCTTCACTGATGAGCATCCCCCAGCTCCCCACCCCCACACTGGCTTTGGGAATGTAGGGAAGTGCTCTACCACTAAGCTCAATCCCTGCCCTTTCTGTCTTATTGTAAACTGGTCTCAGGTCTCACCAATCTGCCAGGCTCCTCTTGAACTCACCTGATGGTCTAGGAAAGCCTTGAACTTATCTTCCTGCCTCAGCTACCCCAAGCTGCTTATCTGTGCCTATAGGTCTGAGCCAATGAGCTCAGCTAATCTTTTATCTTTTTTTTAAAGACATGTTTAACATTCACTACAAAGGGAGTAGTGCGTCACAGGAGACAAGGACTGTCAGGGTGCAGCCAGGCTCTGAAACCAGGAATGTGATATTTGCTTGCATCTGTGTCACAACATCACTGCTCTGGTGTACACTTGATTTCTGGACAGAACAGTAGGGGCTTCTTTCTGACCTGGTGAGGGGTGAGTTCAGCACCAGTGTTCACATCTACCAACTGGAAGAACAGGGCGAAGTTCTGATGGCTGTCCGCGATGAACGTACCCTTGGCTTTGGCTGGGTAGGTCACCCTGAAAGAGATATTATATAGTCAGATTCTGATAGGGCCTCCCTGTCTAAGAACAGGAATTATTGCCCAACTCATTTTACCACTTCCACAGAATGTACAGAAATATCTGTGGCCTAGAAGCAAAGTGGATCAATAAAGCTGGACTGAAGAAGTCTTTTCTTTTCTTACAAGGTAGACCAGAAAGCTTGACCAGACCACTAAGCTACAATCTCAGCCTCAGGCCAGGACTGACTGAGAAATGCAGAGAAAACTTTAATCAGGGTCTGGGGAAAATGCTCTGTGAGAATGTGTACCTCCAGGCAGTCACTTCAACGGCCCACGCTCTTAACCGGCCCAGCTCAGGTGCAGGGAGCCTGTGTGCACCACTGCAGGGCTGGCAGGATGCAGAGGGACGGCCATGGACCGATGCCAGCAGCAGGGAGGCTGGTAAGTGGGGGGGGCAAAGCAAAGAAGGGAGTGCTGGGCTTTCTCTTTCCTATGCTTGGCTTTCTGGACTGTTGCAAATTGTTTCTCTGTCATGAAATTGGGCTTTAAAAAGTCATTTTCTCAATAGGCAGACTTGATGAGGAAAGCTGTTTTCTCCACAGCTGTCTCCCGGGACTGAAGAGAAAGACAGCCAAGATATCAATAAGCCAAAAGGTTACAGAACTCACACCTGGCTTTGTTTTTACTCATCAAAACCAACTCTACAGAGAATTAACTTTGCAAACCATTTTTACAGACATTATTGTAGTGCACTCTCAAATAGTGCTTGTATCTGTACTATCACTGCAGCAACAAGCAAGTCAGGGACAAGAAGTCCAGCTCTACATGACTTAAAAAGAGTGAGTCTGACTTAAAGCATTCTCTGACTTCAAAATAGCTTCAGGGTTCATCTATCTGCCTCTATAGCCTCTCCACAGAGTGAAGTTGGGATCTGAACTATACCCAAGATGTAGACAGGCTGCTTCCCACTCCTCCCCCCAAATGGGGATCTAGGTGATGCTAACAAATGGTATGTATCAGGCATCGTGGTCAACTCTGATCAAATGTTAATGGCTAGTGCTTACTTTAGCACCATATGCACTAAAAGCCTGTCACGATACAGAGACAAGATTAGTATGACCCTTGTGCAAAGATGACACACAAATTTAAGAAGTGTTCCATACTTTTACATTAAAAAATACTAATGGTTACCTAGGAGGTTGCATAAAAACAAAACAAAAAACCCTGAAGCTGTGCCTTGGTTCAGGAGGAGCAAGTGCTATGGTTTATTAGCAGTGCTTTCTGTGGGTAGGGAAGAGAAACAGGAGTCTCAGAGCGAGGTCTAAGGCTTTCCAAGTAGTTTCAGACCACTGGCCAGAATTTCTATAAGGCCACACCAAAAGATAATTCAGAACTCTGATAAGACTTCTGTAAAACAGAAATTAATCTACTGCTTCCCCTCTTTTGAGAATGTTACCTTACCAGAAAAAAATGTTGTCTGAACTAAGTAATATGAATGGCACAGTGGACTCAAGATTTACAGTCTGAGGTTACAAGAGTTGGCTCATGAACTAAACATGAGTACAAACAATCCCCATATGCTTACATGACCACCAGAATCCCCAGAGCAGTCTCTTGAATTTGCGATAGGGTGGGGTCACTGCCACCACAGAAATGCCACCTAGAGGGACACGGTGCCCAGTTTTGTTCTTTGCAGCTCTGAAGCCTGGGGTCCCCAGTGCTTAGGTGGCATCCCACTTACCGGGTAGTCTTAGGTGCAATGCTCTGGTCCTTATCCACAGTGGAAAGGTCCACATTTGTAATGCCAACTTCAGTGGAGATCTTGACTCTAAGCTACAGCAAAACACAGAAGACAGTCATCAAGTCAACTGGTGGGCATGAGAGGAGCTACTGTGTACATCCAAAGTCTGTGTATGCGTGTGTTATGGAATCCAGGATCTCCTGCATTGGTAGGTAAGAACCACCATGGAGTCATATCCACAGACCAACATTTCCTTCCTCCTTCATTTCTTTCTTTTTGAGACAGTCTCATGTGGCCTGGGCTAGCCTTGAACTGTGTAGCCAAGGATGACTTAGGACCCTTCTGCTTCTATCTCCTAAATTACTAAGGCAGAAGTATGTATTATCACACTGAATTGAAGTTACTGCTTTGTGCAAAAATATAAAGTGCCCTACCAACTGAGCGATACCCCTGCTTTAAACGTTCCTATCTTAGACGTGAATAAAGGTGGGAAGAGAATTCAAGGACGGAGTCTTCAAGACCATAGTGAAAGGGACCAACCAGGCCAGATGGCATTCTCACTACTCCCACCCTGAGCCCTAAGAGGTAAGACTTGCTGTTGTCCGTTCCTCACTTCTCTGGCTTTGGTATACATTTAAAAGGGAGTCAGAAGGGAGTAAGGAGTTTCTAAAAAAAAGGCAGGCGGATCTCTCCGAGTTCAAGGCCAGCCTGGTCCATAGAGTGAGTCCCAGGACAGCCAATGCTACAAGAAAAGCCTGTCTTGGAATAACCAATTAAATAAACAAACAAATGAGATGTTTAAATATTTAAATAGTTCATGCCAGTAAGTACTAACAACAGCAAAGATTTCTTAGTATTTACTCAACAAAAGGCACTGGCTTTGTACAGCCATGCTAATCTGCACAATAGGAAGGCAGTGCTGCTTCAGATGAGGACATCAAAGTCATGAATATGCATGCTCAGTGCTCAGTGCTCAATCTGAGCCTCACTATCAGCCTCTGGCCTCCTACCAATACTTCATCTGTGCCAAGCAGTAACACTTTCCATGAAGACACAAGACGCCATGGTAGCTCTCCATATTGTTCATCAAGTAGTCCCCACTCTCTCCGGTACATGTGTCAGCACACTGGCTTTGGTTCCCCTTGGAATCTCAGAGGGACACATGATTTGCTTTAACCAATGAAATGTGAGCGGAAGTGGACTGTTTATTTCTTTGTGGAAGCCTTAAGAGTCCTGGACACAGACAATGTCCAGACACAGTCTTGCTCCTTCAGGCAGGCTTCCTGAGTAAGGATGACATGACGCAGGGCATTTTACTAACTCACTAAAGACACCTGCCATAGGCAAAAAAGAAACCTTGGTTGTTTTAAGTCAGAGGGATCTGGAATCTGTTCTAAGTGTAAGCCAGACAGTCCTCGCTCTTACTTTATAAACATTTCCAAAAAGAGGAGCTAGCTAATACCAGGAAATAAGAAAATTTTAAATTAGGTAAAAATAAGCCGGGCAGTGGTGGCGCACACCTTTAATCCCAGCACTCGGGAGACAGAGGCAGGCGGATCTCTGTGAGTTTGAGGCTGGGCTGGATCTACAGCCTCAAAAACAATACAGAGAAACCCTGTCTCGTAAAAACCAAAAAAAAAAAAAAAAAAAAGGTAAAAATAAATGTATATATTCAAAAGAGACAGAAAACACATTAAAAAGTCTATTCATTGAACATTTTCTAGTTAAAAATCTAAGTTTGAATGTGTAAATTATGTAAACCCAAGGCACATTTATGTGCAAACATATCTGTGACCCTTTCAAATATGATAGGCTTTGAGTGTAACTCAAAGAAATCCTAGGCAAATCTGACGGTTTCATCTAAGTGTCAGGATCAAGCCCGAGAGCCTTGACATTTTCCAAGATGCCACATCAAGGTATGACAGGTGCAAATCAAGGCCGAAAAAGGAAAAATTAAAGTAATCCTTTCTAGCAGTCTTCTCTCCTGCTTCAATAAAAGCTGTTTTGTGACAGCAGCCTCACTTATCTGGCTGAATAGAGTTTTCTATTTTGCTTATGAAAATTTTTAAATATGAAAGATTTATCAGAAACTGTAGGACATTTCCTCTATTTGTGGCAGAGAAACCCGGACTTGAAAAAAAAAATAAAAACAAAGAAAAAAACCAACCAAACAAGACATTTATTTTTATTATTTTAAATTATGTGTATACATCTGAGCGTGGGTATGTACACATGAATATAGGTGTCCATGGGGGACAGAGACATCAGATTCCCTGGAAAAGGAGTCACAGGCACTTGTGAACTATCTGATGTGGATGCTAGGAACTGAACTCAGAGCTTCTAGAAAAGAAGCAGGCACTCTTAACCACTAAGCCATCTCTCCAGACTCATCTTTTACTTTTTCTTAGCATCCAAGAAACAATCAACGATAGTCTTCTCTAAGAAGAACTGAATTGAGAGGATAGGGGAGAAGACTCGTATTCATTACAATTTTCCTGTACTTTGAAAAAAACCGCACTCACATGTATATTTAATTTTTAAAATACTAGGATAATCTGGACAACGTCAGATATATACAGTCATGTTTGTTTTCATTTTTTCCAACACAGGGTTTCTCTGTGTAGTCCTGGCTGTCTAGAAACTCTCTCTGTAGACCAGGCTAGCCTTGAACTCAGATCTACCTGCCTCTGCCTCCTGAGTGCTAGATTAAAGGCATACCCCACCAACTGCCCAGCTCAATGTCCATTATTTTAAAATTTAAAATAAAAAATTCCCAAAACTGATCATATTTTTCCTCTCCTAGATCTTCTTCTCCACCTCCTTACCCACCCAACTTTCTGTCTCCTCTCTCTCTCAACAAGCAAAAACAAGCAAAAAGACATCAAAGTAGGAGGAGAACTGGTAGGGAAGAGTTGACAAAGATGGGAGGGGATAAAAGGGTGGGGTGAGTGTAATGAGAATATTACATACATATATAAAACTGTCAAAGACTAAGTTTAAAAATAAAAAAGCATTACCCAATAAATATATTCAAAATAATCATTTTACTCTCATCAGACAAAGATAGATAAATGAATGCCTAAGGATTGTACAAGACTCTTCAGCGTATCCAGAACATAGCAATAATGAAGCTATCATGTTTCTTAACCATGAGCAGTAACACAGCCATCAAAGTCTGCTCATTGAGATCCCACTGAATGTCTGTCTAGAGGAACCACCACAAGCATTCCCAGACTATACAGACATTTCTCAGATGATACTGACACATGGAATGCACACAAGAGCAAACTGCAGTGAACTTGAGTAATTTTGGTTTGTTTTCCTATTTTAAAAGGCTGCCAATAACAAGCTCCCTTTGCTGCACAGAAACACTGCAGGGTTGCTAGTGAATAGAGAACAGCTTAAAACAAACCCTTTCACTCCTAAAATCTCACTACAAATGGAACTCCGGAAATACTCTCTTACAGCAGACTGTACAAACAAGACCACAGCTTTCTCAGGCTTGCTTTAAAAGTTAGGTGTAGAGTCCCTGCTGGTTAGCTCTTCCTTCAGGCCAGTGCTGTGGGGTCAGTCTCAAACAGGAAAGGGGCTGTGTGCCACTGTAATGCAGCTGGGCCCACTCCACACAGGAGCAAACCATTCCTTTTGCTGTTTACACTGTATACCATAGACAGTCCCCAAAATGTTTCAGCACCAGGAAATGTGGTCTTTCTGCTGAGAGTAATAACTCTCCCTGTTTGGCTTATTACTGTCAAAATTGATGGTGCATTAGGGGCAATTAATGCTAATGAAAGCTTCCAAAACCCATGCTTCCCCTGACAGTCAGTCCAATGTCAATAGGTACTATTACAGGCTTCTACACAAAACTACCACTAATGCACTTGGACTGATGCTGGCATCTCTAAGGGGGAGCAAACAGGACTTGCTGACCTGCTCGGAGGTTCTAAATGTGACTATTATTGAAATTACAGAGTAAAGCTGCACATATAGCAAAAGAAATCAAAGGATATGCACACACAAACGGACACATACCAAGTTCCAATGTGATAAAGTGGGAGAGAAATTTTTTCCTGCTTATGCCATCCCTAGGAAGGGAAAGGACAATAAATGGCCTCCATAAGGGCTGACAGGTTGATAATTGTTGCATGAACAGGTATTAGATAATTCTGCTATTTTGTGCTCAGTTTTTCCAACAAGTACAAAAACACTCATACAAACACCAGACTTGACATTACAAGAAGCCAAGCTGTTATAATAACCCACAGGTAGTACTAGAATACAGACAAAACAGGTCAATAGGACTGAATTTTGGGTCCAAAAGTTAACGCAAAGGATGCAGAGAAACTACAACCAAAGCTGGTACATAGGAATGGGACACAGAAAACAAATGTTCAAACAAAAACTTACACATAAATGTTCACAGTAGCATCATTTATAAGTGCCAAAAAGCAAAACTACCTACACTTAGAATATGTGAAGCCCTGGGCTCAAACAGACACAGACACAGACACACACAGAGTCTAAGTACAAAGTATCAAATATAAAGGAACATGTTTATTATTCAGACACAGAAATGAATAAAGTATTTAGACATGCTAAATCATAGATAATTCTAAAAATACTACACTAAGTGAGAAAAATCCAGAGGCAGAAGTTAACATATTGTGTGATTACAACCATATGAGCATCCTGAAGAGACAAAGCAAAAAGAAAGTCATGTGTGGATGCTGGGGCTGGGGCAGAAGAGACGGGAGAGCATCTGCTTTTTTTTTTTTAATGCTTTATTTATTTATTTATTTATTTGTTTATTTATTTATTTATTGTGTATACAGCCTTCTGCCTGCAGGCCAGCAGAGGGTACCAGATCTCATTCAAGATGGTTGTGAGCCACCATGTGGTTGCCAGGAATTGAACTCAGGACCTCTGGAAGAACAGTCAGTGCTCTTAACCTCTGAGCCGTATCTCCAGCCCCGAGAGCATCTGCTTATGATGGAAGTCTGACTTTTAGGAAAATGAAAGTGTTCTAGAATAGACAGGAATGGTTACAGCTAAACAATCCTAAAATGCCAAGGATATCTAACTACATACTTTCAATAAGTGTATTTCATGGTATTATAAGCTACATCTCAATAAAGTCAGGGAGGGAGGGAAGAAGGGAAGGAAAGAGGGAAGGAGGGAGAGAGAGAGGGAGGGAGGGAGGGAGGGAGGGAGGGAGGGAGGGAGGGAGGGAGGGAGGGAGGGAGGGAGGGAGGGAAAGATAGAAACTAAACACTGACTGACTAATATTTGGCTTTACCCACATGAAGTTCCTAGCCCAAAGAAAAGGCAACACATGAAGAAAACAATATTGATATTATGTGCTTTTTACAATCACCAAGAGGATATTAAAACAAACTTAAAGTATATTGAAGCTATCAGAAGAACAATGCTCTGAAAATTGCTGGAAGAAAACATTAGAGGACTTTTTAATCTTGAGGTACTAAGAACTTTTCTTTTTAAAAAAATCTAATTATATTTATTTGTATGTGTACAAGTATGGATTTGCATGCTATGGCACATGTGGGGGGGGTCACAGAACAACTTGTGAGAATTGGTTCTCTCCTTCAGTCACTCCACCATTTTGCCAGCCTTAACATTTTAAAAGACATGAAAAAAAAAAAAATCAGGGCTAGGACATAGCTCACAGTGAAGTGACTCAGCAAAGCAAATGAGATGACTTGAGTTTGATTCAGAGTGCCCATATAAAAGCCTGGCATGGAGGTATGTATCTTGCACCAGCACTGTGTGTGTGTGTGTGTGTGTGTGTGTGTGTGTGTACATGCAGAGACAGGTAGATCCTGGGAAATTCAGAGGATAAACAGACAGACAGATAGGCAAGCCAAAATGGCAAGATCCAGATTCAGTGAGAAACCCTGTCTTAAATGACAGGAGATGGTAATAGGTAATAGATGACTTAATGAGGACCTCTCCTGTCTCTACACATATATATACACATGAGCACACCTGCACACATACGCATGCACCAAACACACTATATATATAAAAAAATCCCACCCTGTAATCTAGAAAAAAGCTTTAAGATTTCTGTGCATTAAGAGGCTAAAAATTAATTCTAAGAAGAAACCTAAAGGTCACAACTAAGGCTTAGTGTCTAGAACAACTTCTGAAAGCCAGCAAGGGAAGCAGGCTTACAAACAACCAGGAACAGACATACAACTCATAGGTTGGAAACCTAGCTGCCCAATGACCACAAGAACAGTGCCCAACTTCACAACGAATCTAAGAGAAACATCACAAGGCAACACTATACTCCACATCCTATAAATGGAAACTACCAATGTCGGTGAGACTATAGAGCAACAAAGGACTCTCGAAAGACATTACAGTGTGATGGGCAGGTGCTGGAGAATGAGTAGAAATGAAAATGAAGGCAGGAAAGAGCCTGAAGTGTGAGCCTATCACTGTAGCTAGACAGCTGTTCTCAGACACAGGAGAAAGAGGCTACAAGAAAAGTACGAGTTTTATTTGTAATGTAATATACTGCAAATAAGGTCACATAAAGGAAACTGATGAAAAATAATTTGGAATTTAAAGGTTCAATATACACAGTAAATTAATTTCTATCCAAACTATGTTCTAGTGAGTGGATCAGATCAGCTGTCTCATGCCCAAAAGGTCAGACATGAGGCAGTGACTGGAGTTTCAGAAAACATCTTCCTCTCTGCCAAACTTCAAAATAAGTATCTACAGTGGCGAGGAGGTCCTGCTTTTGAAAAGGTCAAACCTTCTAGCTGCCTACTCTTTTTATTTAAAGAGAATGTCAAAGGTGTCTAGCTGAGGATATCTTCAAAGGCAAATTAAGTGACTGTAAGATCATAATATATGGTCAAATAAAAATCCATAACACACTACAAGCTCACTATATAAACTACATTGTACAAATAAATGAAGGGGAAAGGGCAATTTATTTTTCTTACAGTAGAATTTCAATAAATATAAATAGAATGAAAGAAAGAAAATTTAAAGTGTACAGTCCTTGCTTAAAATCCCAGAACAAAGGCAGAAGCAGAAGGATCAAAAGGTCAAAGTCACCTTAGCCTGGGCGCAAAAGAAGTCAATATACCAGATGACCAAGGCTTCATGCCTTCATCGTTTTACATACATTAATGTGGCTACAGGGATGACAAGAAAAGCACCTACCTCTACAGTGTTTGCAATGTAACGGTTGTCCCCTTCAACTCTGACAGAGAAGTCATAGTAACCACTGGAAAGTTTAACATTCTTGAAGTTTAGCTCAAAAACATCCCTGTTGGGAATGACAGCAAGGTTAACAAAAATTCAAGAGAAGTCCTGAATATATCACATCTGCCAGTCTGATTTCAATCACCCTCTGTTGTCATTCCTTTTTTTGGTGGTGGGGGTGGAATCCAGGGCCCAGGGCATGCTGTACAGTGCTCTACTACTGAGCCTCAGTTAAGCTGATCAATAAAATCACTCAAGGAAATAGTCCAAAAGTCCAAAGATGTTGGTGTAGAGGAGTAGAGTTGTGTGTAATTTTTTGATATCATTTTTACCAAAAAGGATGTTACTTTTATTTTACAAATTAATAATCCTCTATTTTAAATAGAAGAAAGGTGGAGAGTCCCTATAATCATGTAGAAAGACTCCAATGACTTTTACTGTCGTACCATACCATCTCCCTTAGAGAAAAGTTCACTTGATTATTTGATGTCTAGTGGGGAAACCTTCACCATGGAAAAAAATATGTTCTCTCCAATATTCCAACACTGTATGGCAATAACTCACTAGTACTAAATAAGGTTTTATATAGAAACCAAGTCTTAATTTTTTAGAAATATAAATATTAAGAATAGTCATTAAAATGATTGGAGACAAATATTTAATCCCACGGGGCAATTGCTCATGACACACAGTTACAGATGCTCATTCAGTTTTTAAAATGTACTTATGGGGCAGAAGAGGTGACTTGGTAGTTAAGAGCCCTTGTTGCTCTTGCAGAGGACATAGGTTCAACAGCCAGCATCCACATGGTGGCTCACAACCATCTGTAATTGCAGTTCTAGGTGCTCTAATGCCCTCTTCTGACCTCTGTGGGTACTAGGTACAAATGTAGTACACATATGTACACATTCAAACAAAGAACACACAGAGAATAAACAAATCTAAAGAATAAAATAGTCTTATATTCATAGTCAAAAGACTGATAAAAAGAACCATAAAATGTGTCAGTAGTTATCTCCAGGTAGTAGAATTATAGATGCTTTCTGATTTCTCTAAAATGTAGTACTCATATATCAGACAAAAATACTGAATTTAAAAGTAGGTACAAAATAACAAGACAGAGAGCCCACTAGAGAGACAAGAATGAACTATTAAGTGCAAAATGGCCTGGCTTTAGAAATCTCTTTCTAATGTTCTCCTCTAGGATGTAATACATTAGGCAATGAGGTTTATGACCCTATGAATCTGTTTTGTTTTGGTTTTTTCTTTCTTTTCTTTCTTTCTGTCCTTCCTCCCTCCCTCCCTCCCTCCCTCCCTCCCTCCCTCCCTCCCTCCCTCCCTCCCTCCCTCCCTCCCTCCCTCCCTCCCTCTCTCAGGTTTTGGCCTGGAACCCTCTTTGTAGACCAGGCTGGCCTAACCCCTATGAAGGAATCTGTTGCACTGATTGAAAGTTACTGGTCTGAAGCACAGAGCTTGGTGCCCTGCACAGATCTTCATGTCCCAGACTTACCCTACAAGTGTGAAGGGCATCTTCTGCAGGACAGTAGTAGCTCTGGAAGCCACTGACTTAGCATGTTCCAGCTTAACTGCAGCTTGAGACAGAGGCTGAGACAAAACATTGCTGACTTGTAACTAGAAAGTCAAACAAAACAAACCGCACATGAGTAGAACAAAGACCGAGGGAATAGGAATTTGGCCTCTGGGGCAGTTTATCTACAGGAAACCAGCTCTGCAGAACAAGTACCTTCCTTCAGTGATGTGCACTGACTTTGGTCGGCTGCCTACCAGAGACCAAACAGATTATAGAATGCCACAGCTGGGGATGAGCCTTCAGATGATCCTGCCCAACCACCTCATTGGAGGAACTTAGAGACTGTGTATATGAGCATGTGTGTGTGGCTGCCTCTACTTGTTTATTTTCATAGTACAGGGCCTTGTGTGTGTAAGGCAAGACCTCTACCACTGAGCAATATCTAAGCTGCCCAGATTCTAAGCTGCCCAGGTTAGTCTTGAATCATCACTCCAAGGCCCAGGCAGGCTTTGAACTTGGGATCCTCCTGCCCGAACTTCTCAAGATTACATGTCTCACTTGCTTTTACAGCTGTATTTCCTTTTTGCTTAAAAGGCAGTGTCTTTCTATGTAACTCAGAATGCTCTGGAACAAGGAATACTCCTTCCTGAGCCTGGCAAATGTTAAGATGACAGGTATCACCATACTCAATTTATCGCTTCTTGGTTTTGAACCCTTGTCCTATCAACTCTTCTATAATATCTTAAAACAAACATACAAACAAAAAACCCACCAAAATTATTAGTAAGAAAAATATGTTGGGGTAAGGATTGTGGAGTAATTTATTTACTGTGTTTGTGCCTGCATGCCTGCCTATGTGCATGTGTGGGTGTGTGTATGCAGGTGCACATACACATTTGGAGGCCTTAGGAGGACAATGGTCCTCTTTTATTGCTCTGCACATTATTCCTTTGAGACAGGGTCTCCCACTGAACCTAGATCTTGCCATTTTTCAGTTAGCAAGCCTCAGTGATACTCCTGTCTCCCTAGCTATTATTCCCCAGTGCTGGTGCTTGGATTACTAGTGCATATGATCTTTTTGCATGGGTGCTAGGAATCCAAACTTAGGTTCTCATGCTTGCACGGCAAGTATTGTTACCCAATGAGTCACTTTTATAGACCTGTCATTTGAGTGTATACGTATGTATCCACTTCAGAGCCAATACTTTCCCCACTGTGTTCTCTGAATTCCACCCTAACTCAAAGAATTATGCTAATAATGTTATGGCTCAGCCTACTCTTAGTTGGAAAGGCACATCTGTACCAAGGAGACAGACAATTTTGAAATCTGGGGCACCTTCATAGAAAGTTATCAAAATCAAACTTATAGACCGGTGGAACTCAACACCGATACAAACAGAATGATGACTATAGTGATCTGAGTTTATCAGTGGTTTATAAACAACAGCAACAGATGCTTCATTTGAGATGAAAATTCTAGGTTACTTAAGATTTGTTCATTTGCTCTGTACAAAGACTTAACCAAAAAGATTATGCTCAATGCCATGTGTGGGAGGCCCATGAGTAGAGGGACTACTCAATCAGCAACAGGGAGGAAGAAGCATATACTTAACAATGGACTAGAAGCATCAGAATTACTTGAGAATTAAATGTTGTCTTAAGATAATGTGTCTGGGGCCTAAAAGGATGGCTTAGTGGTTGCGAGCATTTGTTGCTCTTCTGGAGGACTTGGATCAAGTCACAGCACCCAAATGGTGGTTCATAACCACTCCAGTTCCAGAGAATCAGATACCTTCTCTGGCCTCCTCAGGCATCAGGTATTCAAGTAGTTCACAGACATATATGCAGGCAAAACACCCACATACACAAAATAATTAAACAAAACAACGTATCTGGAAAATTCTGTAACTGGGAAATAATGTTATTACTACTTTTTAAATGTATGAAGCCAATGATCAAACCCAGCACCCAGCATGTGGCAGACAACTACTCTACCTTGCAGTTACAGACTCATCAAAAATTCACGGTATTAACTTACTTAAGTGTAGGAGACTTTAGGACTGCTCCACTAGCCATGCCCACTTTGGGCGTGGCTAGAGGCGTGTACAGAGGTGGTAGTAAAAGACCCTGAAGGAGAGACACACGCTCTCTTTTCGGCTTCTGGTTCTGTGGCGAAAGCTACTGACTCACCTTGGTTGCCCGTTTTCTCTTGTAAGTAATTTCTACAATAAACAGTTACCTATCCCCTCAAGTGTGCCGTTTATCGTTACAGTGACACTTATGGTTTTGTGGTCCTGGGGATTTAGTCCTATACTAGGCAAATGTTCTACCTCTGATCTTTATCTCTAGCTCCAGAAATAGATTTTAGGAGCAAGATTACACCTGGAGCGATGGACCAGACTGCAATTTTCTTGAGCTTGACTTACTGGAAGTCCATGCTATTTATAATTTTCAAGGGGAAAAAAGTTTTTTTATTATTCTTTTAAAAGACTTGTTTACTTTTACTTAATGAATGTTTGCCTGCATGTATATATGTGTAACATAGGATTGCCTGGTGCTCCTCAGATCCCCCAGGGAATGGAGTTACAGGTGGTCTTGAGATGCCAGGTGTCTGCTGATAAACTCAAGTTCTGCAAGAGCAACACGTGCTATTAACCATTGAGCTCCTCCACCACCACATACACCAGATAGTGTTTCTCTGTGTAGCCTGGGCTGTTCTTAAACTCACTTTGCCTCCAGAATGCTGGCATTAAAGGTGTGCGCCCCTCCCCCAACCTCCACTTCTTAGTAGCTTCAAAAGGATTTGTGCCAAGCTCCCCAGTGATCATGTCCCATGTATAGTTACTGTTGCATCCTCACGGGAGCTATAACTGGCTCTATACCACATCTCAAAGTCTTGTACTAGAAACAGCATGAGAATGGCAATCTTGAACAGGGAGGTCATACCCGAAGGATAGCTTGTTCATGAGTGTCAGAAGCAGAGCCCTCGGGCACAACCACCACTGGCATGTGATAACGATTCTGGGACAATGCAGCAGCAGCAGAGGCCACACTGAAGGCTTCTGAGAGGGACTCAAAGTTCTTCTTGCTGAAGATTGTGTTCATTAGCTGGATGACCTGATCCTGAGAGCAAAGGGAAACACAGTTCAGCTCCCCTGTGCAGCACCTAGAGGGCTTCCCAACCCCTACACCACTCCTTGTGTGTCAGGACGTCCAGCATTAATCCAAACAGAGGATTAGAGGGGAGCAAAATGCTGCATTAAATTTGAGCTTGATAGTTTTTAATTCAATCTATTATAAATGGAAATTCACTCATTTTGTTAATCCTTTAATGACAGGTTATTATGCAAACTACCCCAGCTGACTACTGATAAATGCAAGTGGAGACTAAAATTCATGTAACAGTAACCATCTGTTAAATACCAGGCCATGATAGTTGCTTTACACAAATTACCTCAAATCATGACAAAACCTTGACAGATTAAATGCTTTCTAAATAGGGAAACTGAGGCTAAAACATGATAAATAAACACAAATATAGCACAGAAGGGAGAGAGGTAGGGAAAGAAGGAAAAATGCCCCAAAGCCCTGCCACAGAAATTCTGTTCTTTCCCAATTCCCATAACCCTTTCAGCTAAACTACCTTCCTTCCTAACCTTTCTTGAAGCAATAAAATGGGCCAATTTTGTATTCATAAGGGCAAACTTTATGGTCAAAGTGTGTACTAGAAAGGAACTAAAATCTAAGTCTCCATTAAGAACTCGTGGGCTGCATAAAAGAGAAAAATGAAAAGCAATTTTAAAACAAGTGGCCCTAAAAGGCATGATTACAATTCTGGAGGTTGTTTGCTTAGGAGGAGACATTTTCCACTTCAATCAGCTTTGTTCTTTAAAATCTACCATCTAACAAGAAGGCGCCCTTCTTCCCGACAGTGTTATTCACAGTCGACATGAAATAATTTTCTGTAATTGTACCAATTACATTTTTCCATCAGTAGGCTATTGACATGTTAAAATGGGTGACTATTCACCAGAATTGTTATGTCAAAAGCAGTGACAGCAAAATTACTTTAGCCAAATACCTGGTTAGTAACAGCTTGGGAATAAAACAAGAAAAAGTTTAAGTTGTATAAGTAGAGTCGGCAGTCCATCTGTGTCAAGGTATACAGAAAACCACCAAGTAATTTGTACCGGAAGACCCTGCATTCCTCAGCGCTCACCCTGACAGAAGTGAAAAGGGAGCCTCGTAGTTCTAGCACTCCTTAGGAAGAAGGAATGGACATAATGGACAGAATGTGGGATAAGAACAAATTCCTAGAAAATTAATTCTAGCTGCCCAAGATAGATGTTGTTTGCTGGTTACATAAAGACATTTGCATAATAATAAAAGAAATGTGAGTCTTGCTTTAAATTCAAACCTTTCTTCTAAAAATCTAAGTATCAGAACTTGTATTTTTAAGTACTTTAGACTAAAGGTTGGTAACCTCACACACAGGGGACAGAGAGGTTGTACTTAAAAATGTTTATCACACATATCCTAATTAAAACCATTTAGGCTAAGAAGCTCTTCCTAAAAGCCACCCCCAGCCCCCTCCACACAAACAAAAGCCATTCTTGGCAGTATCTGGAAGACACATTCTTGGCAGTATCTGGAAGACACACAAGCTTCTCCGGGAAACAGCAGGAAGAACTATATCCAGTGGCTGAGATGACTGGAATTAGTGTTGCTGAGGATGAAGGGGAGAGGGAGAACAGGCAATTCTGAAGTCCAGGGTACTTCCTGAGAGGAGCTAGTTCTATGGGGCTTGCAAAGAGGAAAGCAAGCAGGAGACAGGCAGAAGAGGCTGTCATGAGGAGTAAGGAGAGCAAACCAGGGTGATATACTTCACCTTACCCCTATTTAATGGCATGCAAGCGCTTCATGTAAGCAGGTGTAACAATTTATATAGCATGCCTGTCACACTGACTATCAGCTTCATAGTACAGGCATTACACCTTTCTACTTCTCATTCTTAAACCTACCCTAAATGACGAATAACACCACCCTGAGGTATGATCTGAACACCCCCCACCCTGAGAACAGCTATCTTTGAAAGATAAACTCAATAAAGCCTTTGAGAATCATTAGACAGGCACCTCCTTCATGGATGGTTCGGTCCCCACATGGTCCATGAGCTTGTAGGTGGCAGCAACAAATAAGGCTGTGGTTTCCAGTCCTTCCTCAAATTGGAGATACACGCCCCCAAGTTCATCCAAGCGAGCAACAAGGTCCTGTTATGAAAAAATGGAGGCATACTGGGACACAGAGATCATAGGAACGACATACACAAAGCACTGTCACCCCAGCCTTTCTGAGAAATCTCACTAAGCCCGAAGACTGCCTTAACCACTTAGTACTTTCCACAGAAGGGCAGACAGGCAGAGTCTCTGGCAGCTCTGGCAATATGTTTCCCATAGTTCTGTGTGCTCTTGCCAAAGCCTAAGAGCCAAAGCACTGAAGCAGTCACAGCAGTGGTCTCGGCTGCAGTTTTGCCAGGAAGCACAGCACTTTTGACACAAATGAAGCCGTGGCACCCACTGGGATAGCACCTATGAAGCGCAGCACTTTCCTTCAGTCAATGCTCTACAAGATGAGAAAGCACTGCTCTCCGGGGAGCAGAATGAGGCGGTTACTGAGCCTGTGAAGCACACAGCAACCACACTGCCAGAACCGCCCACCATCACTGGCTATACAGATCTTGAGGGTGACCCAAGGAACAGAGTATCTCGGATTTAGGACTGAGCAATAGTAAAAACTGCAGTGAGCCAGGGACGGCAGCATACAACTTAAAATCCTAGCTCAGGAAGTGAGGCAGGAAGATGCCAACTTTAAGACCAATAGAGTTATATAACGAGACGGTCTCAACAAAGAAAACAAACCCACCCATAGTATCCACTCAACAGGCAGCCAGTTAATATATTCGGGCTCTTTTAACCTTAGTGGCCCCGAAACCATCGTACAGGAAAACTGAGGCTCAGAGCCTACAACTACAAAGTAGAGAGAAGCATGAGTTTTAGATTTGTCAGTTCCACAACCTGTGGCCAATATTAGCCTAGCAAATAGGCTCTCTCTAGGACATACTGCTTAAATACAAAGAACAGAAGCATGTTGGACTTAACAGATACAGATGTAAATGATAAAGCGTTGGCCATAAGAAAGCAGTCATGTCTATTTACAAGAGTTTCTTAAAGGGTGTCCAAGACAGGAGCGTAGAGACTCATTTGGAGAAAGATTTATACCTCAATCTCCTCCACGATGTTCCTCAGGTCAGCCTGCTGTGATAGGTGGGATGCTGTCTGCAGAGCCTGGACCGTTCTGTAAGGTAAAGAGTAGAGCACTGAGGCTAAAACTTAGTTAACTATATAGAAACATGCCTGAAGACACCCTCTATCTTGTACAGGATATTATGCTAGGCTGAAATTGGCTGCCTTTCAGATGTCTATCTTTTTTACTCAAGACTAAAGGAGTATCATGTGGTCTACGATTGTAAATTGTTGGGCAGAATTGGAGCAACTTTCTAAAAAGGAGACTAAAGCACACAAGGAACAAATTCAGTAAACACATGCTTAATAGTTACCACTTGTGCTACCAGCGTCCTCCTACAAGATCTGCAAGTGACACACCCTCGGGCATTAGGAGAGAAAAGGGACAGACTTAGTCTTAAATAAGTCTTTCTTGTTTTCTTTTAACCATTTTATGTGTAAAACCTTATGAATACATATAAAATATATACTTAATTCTTATGAACTATAACTTTACACTATTAAAATGAATCATCAGTTACTCAATTTTTTTTTTTTTTTTTGGTTTTTACGAGACAGGGTTTCTCTGTATTGTTTTGGAGGCTATCGGTCCAGCCCGGCCTCGAACTCACAGAGATCCGCCTGTCTCTGCCTCCCGAGTGCTGGAATTAAAGGCGTGCGCCACCAACGCCCGGCTAGTTACTCAATTTTTTAAAACTTTATTATTTTATTTTTGGAAATGGGGGTTTTATGTAGCCCAGACTGGCCTCAAACTTGACGGACCTTAAACTGGTCCTCCTGCCTCTACTTCCTGAGTGCTGGGATCACAGCTGTATACCACCATACCTGTTCTGTGTAGTGCTAGGAACTGAACCCAGGACTTCATGCATTATGAAAACATTCTATCACTGCAACTTTCAAGAACCACTATCAAAAAAAATACTCTACCAAATAAGCTATATACTAAGCCCCCTAATCTCAAAATTCAAAATAATGTGAATTCAGTAGCACTAGAGTCACAATGTCCAACCACTGTCTCTGTTTATATGCAGAACACTTCCATGAGTTCCAAATAAAGTCTCAGATCATTAAGCAGTTCCTTTCCATGATGCCCCCACCCCAAACCCTGCAACATGCTTCTACAGACTAATCTGTTCTGGATATTCTCACAACAGGCGACTTGTTGGGAAGGTGCTGAGTATCCATTTCAGGCTCTTGTGTATACAAAGCAAGCATTCCACCCCTGGGAAATAGTCCCTAGTATCCTACCTTTTAAGGCTCATCCATACTGTGGCATGTATCAGCATTTCATTCTTTGTTTTACTCATATATTTTTTATTATTTTAAAAGTATATTCTAGGGTAGGGGATGGGTTGGGGGGTTACAGGAGGATGAGAGGGAGAAGGAAGGGGGGAGGATTGATATGTAAAATGATTGTTTCTAAATTTAAACTAAATTTTAAAAAAAGAGTATATTCTATAAGATAAACATTTTGCTGGGTGTAGTGGTGCACACCCCAGCACTCAGGAGGCAGAGGCAGGTGGATCTTGGTGAGTTCAAGGCCAGCCTGGTTTACAGAGTGAGTTCAGAACAGTAAGGACTATAGAGAGAGACTCAGTCACACATGAAAAAAAGTTTTCCTGACTTCAATATGTGTACGATGGTGCATGTGCCTTCCTGCCTACACACACACACCTAAATAACAACAAAACATTTTAAGGTGGAATGTGACAGTTTTGCATGTGTAATTTTTTTTAATTAAATTTTTTTTTTAACAAACCTAGATAGTCTAGATGGAGAGCACAAATATTTCTCTGGGTAAAATGAGGGAAGCTGAGGCCCCCTGGTGGTCAAATGCTCTGCTGCCTTGGCAGACTTGAATTTCCTTAGAGATGTCTGAGTCTTTGTGTAAACCACCACTTACCAAGTCAGTGTCAGGTAATGTAGAGCAAGAATCTGTCTACTTATGTTGAGATCATAACAATTTAGATTCCCTCCATGGAAAGCTAATTCCATTAAGATGACAAGTTGGAAAACAGAGGAGTCACAATTTAAAGATAGAGAAGCCCCATGAGTATTTAATGACTCCTCAATTTCCAAAAAAAAAAAAAAAAAAAATTCCCCATCTGCCCAAGTTAAATGCCAGCTCAAAAACAGCTGCTAAAATAGTCAAAAAAAGAACTTCCCACCTCAAAAGTTTTATAATGAAATCAATCATGTAGCTTTAGAAAAGTGTTACTGGCTTCATTACTTAACAATGGCCTTCTCTGTGGAACACTGTAATCTACCATGGAGAAAAACCAACTCTGTCCTGCTCATATACAGCAGATGATTCACAGAACTTAGTTTTCAAGGTTTTTGGTTCAAATGCTTCATTCAGACCGACACTTCTTGCTTTTCAAAACAAATTTATGAACAGATACTCCCTACTACTCTACTCACACACAGAGGCCCATTGCAAAAGGTCCTCACTTATACCAGCCCTTACTGACGTGGCCAAATTAGCTTCATTAAAATTAGAAGCATCCTGCCAATCTAAGCTTCAGGATGACCCTACGAGAAGAAGGTTGCTTTCAGGTGTGAGAACATCTGAGGGTGCAAGAGAGAGGAGGCATTAAGCTCCCTGCCACAGAAGTACCACACAGACAACACAGACCTACACAGGCCTACCCAACTGACAGCACATGCCCTCCCTCTCTCACAACCAGTCTTCATTAACTCTTTAGTCTGACATCCAGTGTGTCAGACGCAGGAGCCAGGTGAGTACTGCAGCTTAGGCTCTAACAGAGAAATTACTACAGTCCAACCAAGGAAGCATCTCGCTCCCCAAGAACAATGCACTGTGTGTTCAAGAATAGGCAGAGTTAGGCTTGGCACATTCACTATCTCTACACCTGCCCCACAGTGTAGATGGTTGGCCTCATTGTACAGATGAAAGTCAAAGACATTATTAACCTGTCCAAAGTCCCACGGCGAGGAGGAGGACATACCTGGTGCCCAAAGCCAAGTGTGTCTGATTCCGAGGCAGCTTAACTTTCCTGTGCTTCTTCCTATTGTGAGGGTTTTCTTTTCTTTCTTTTGAGACAGGGTCTCACCATGTACTCTAGCTGGCCTGTACTCAGATCTGCCTGCCTCTACCTCATTCTCTAGAGTGCCCTACCTTTTCCTGGCAAGAAATGGGAAGGTTTTTTTTGTCAGTTTGTTTAGGTAGTATCATGGTGACATGACATTATAAGGTGCTAACTTGGGATGCAAGCTACCAAAAGGGATTATGAACAGAGACAAAAACAAGAGGTCTGTCAGGCATGGTGGTGTATACTTAATTGTACCACTCTGGAGACAGAAGCAGGCAGATCTCTAAGTTAGATGCCAGCCTGGTCTGCAGAGAGAGTTCCAAGACAGCCAGGACTATGAAGAGACCCTGTTTCAAAAAGCAAAAGCAAAAAAACAGAAAACAAATGAACAAACAAGTAGCCTAAAAATAAAACTTCCAAGAACCAAGCACCAGGCAAATTATGCACAAAAGCATCCATGTAAGAGATATTTTCAGCCCTCATGTCACTATTGACCTTGTAAATATGAGCAGGGACTGAAAATAACAATGAGAATGTCAACTATGAACCCTTCCCTTAACAAAACTTCAAGTTTAGAAACAATCTGGTTGTTGCTCCCCAATTCATGAAATTCTGGGAACTAATCTGCTTTTTTGTTGGGGGTGTGCACGCATGTGCATGCCCTGGCATGTATGTGCAAGTTGGAGGACAACTTGTAGGAGCTGGTTCTCTCCTCGCACCACGTGGTTTCTCTGAACCAAACTCAGGTTCTCAGCTTAAGGGCAAGCAGATTTACCTGCTAAGTCATTCCTAGGGCCTGGTTTGGTTTGGTTTCTACAGTAGGAGGCCTGATGCATGGTTAAGTGCTTTATCACTTTTTTCTTTTCTAGCCCCTAATCCCACTGTGCTGAAAGGAGGAACTGGTACCATCAACCTGATGTTAAAGCATTAGCAGGTGTCTTCGTGAGGTTTCTACTGCTGTGATGAAACACCATGACCAAAAGCAACTTGAGGAAGAAAGACTTTATTTGGCTCACACTTCCATATCACGGTTCATCGTCTAAAGAAGCCAAGGCAGGAACTCAAACAGAGCCGGAACCTGGAGGCAGGAGCTAATACAGAAACCAGAGGATAGCTGCATACTGGCTTATATCCGTGGTTTGCTCAGCCTGCTTTCTTACAGAACCCAGGACCACCAGCCCAGGGATGGCACCACCTACAATGAGCTGGGCCCACCCCACCAATCTCCAATTAAGAAAACACACTACAAACTTTCCTACAATGGAGGTATTTTCTCAATTGATGATCCCTTTTTCTCAGATGACAAAAGCTTACGTCAAGTTGACATAAAACTAGCCAGTACAACAGGGCTGCAGGTACTCCACCTCAGAGGTTACAATTAAATGGGAGGCATACAAAAAAACACGAACTATTGTTCTAAATGATAAGTTTCAGTTTTAAAGAATAATTTCAAAAATATATTATCACTTTTAAGTTTAGCAAGCATTCTGAAGTCAGTTACAGATCCCTTTATCATAACCACAAAAATTGCTCAGGATCCCAATTATAAGCTGAGCACAGTGGTGTGTGTGGGTAATCTCACCACCAGGAAAAAGAAGACAGGTCCATCCCTAGTGTTTGCTGGTCAGCCAGCTTAGCCTATTGGCAAGCTACATGCCACCAGAAACCGGGTCTCAGCAAAAAGGTGGCAGTGCACACCTTTAATCCCAGCACTCAGGGGGCAGAGGCAGGCAGAGCTCTGAGTTCAAGGCCAGCCTGATCTACAGAGTGAATTCCAGGATAGCCAGGACCACACAGAGAAACCCTGTCTCAAAAACAAAAAACAAAAAACAGAACAACAACAACAACAACAACAACAAAACAAAAAAAGAAAGAAAGAAACCCTGTCTTAGAAAACAAGGTGGAGTGCACCTGAGGAGCAATCCCTGCGTTAATCTCTGCCTTCCATACCCAAGCACACAGGAGTACCTGTAACACATACACACACACTCTCATCTGTGGGGTAAAATCATTCCTATACAGGCCTCTCTTCACCTGGACCTTTTGCAGATGACCAGAATCTGATTTCTAGACTATGCTATCCCCTGAGAATACATGTGCCCAATAGGCACTGCTTCTCACAGCTCCAAGGGACCCAGTAACCTTCTGTTCTTCACAGAACCCTAGTGCCACCGTCAACAGCCTCAGCCAAGCCTCATCCGAAAGTGCATGTAACTTACTGGTCTCATGGTCCTTTGGGAATCTACCTTGCTCCAGCCTCCCTACCTGTTTCTGTATGATGATAGGCTAACCCTGCCTTAGCCTTTGCCTTCTGCCTGAACAGCTTGAAGACAATGTATGAGTTCCACAAGGCCAAGGACCAGGCCCTTCTGCCTTAATTCAAGTGCCAGTCACTGGGGGTAGGGAGATGTCTTAATGGTAAATGTCTGCCATGCATGTAGGCATGAGGACCCACATTCTGACTCCTAGCACACATGTAAAAGTTGGACACAGCAGTGTGCTGTAACCCCAGTACTAGCAGGAGGATCCCTGGAGTTCATCAGCCAACCTGTCTCAAAAAACAAAACAGAAGCCAGGCAGTGTTGGCACAAGCCTTTAATCCCAGCAGGCAGAGGCAGAGTCAGGCAGATCTCTGTGAGTTCCAGGATAGCCTGGTCTACAGAATGAGTTCCAGGACAGCCAGGGCTACACAGAGAAACCCTGTCTCAAAAACAAACAAACAAATAAAAAAGCAGAATGCAGAATGCCAGGCATTTAATTCCAGCACTTGGGAAGTAGAGGTAAGCGGATCTCTGTGAGTTCAAGGTCAGCTTGGTGTGTATAAGGAGTTCCAGAACAGCGAGGTCTGCATAATGACACCCTGCCTCAAATAAAAAACAAAAACAAGAAAAGAGGAAACCGAGGAAGACACCTGGAATTACCTCTGTCCTCTGACTGCAAACACACACGGTAGTGTCTGCCACACCTATCAGCGCATCTGGCACGCAGCAGATGTCCAGAAATGTGTGCTGCAGCAATGAGCGAGCCCTCTCAGGTTAGAACCAACACCAAACTGACAACTTACGCCAGCACGGTCTCCTCCTTGCTGAGGCGAGCAGTGAGGGCACCAAGGACTTCATGAGATGCCAAGGGAAGGCCAAAGCCACTGAGTGCTGCAACTGCATGGTAGATCTGGGCAACAGAGGAGTCTTCACTGACTGCTGCCAGAAGGAGGTCTTTGGTCTCATTTGAAACAGATATCTAGGAAAGGAATGGCAGACAGAGTTAGAGCAGGTAATGGCACTTTATGGGCCAAAACCATGTCTACCCAGTACCCCCAGAATAAAATGTTCATAAAGTCAACACTACCTCTAATCTGATTAGTTTTTTGTCAATGTAAACAAGCTAGAGTTACTTGGACAGACAGAACCTCAATTGAGAAAATGCCTCAATAAAATTGGCCTGTAGGCAAGTCTGTAGAGCATTTTCTTGATTAAAAATTGATGTGGGAGGGCCCAGACTACTGTAGGTGGTGTCACCTCTGGGCAGGTGATCCTGGGGTTTTTAAGAGAACAGGCTGAGTAAGCCCTGAGGAGCAAGCCAGTAAAAGTTACCATCCTCCACTGCCTCTTCTTCAGTTCCTGCCCTAGTTTCCTTTGATGATAAGGTGAGATGTGGAAGTCTCAGCAAAACAAACCTTTCCCCCACCTCCCAAAAGATAGCAAGTTGCTTGTCTATTTAAAGTAATCCCTCTTCCTATGTTCAACAGAAAGATCGAGAATCTGAGGTGAGGATGCACTGGATGCTTTTAAATGTTAAAGGAGAAAGGAAAGAAAATCTCAAGGCCTCCCAGGAAAGATAAGAACTGTAAGAAAAACTACTCTAAAAGCCATTACAGTGAACCCTTTAAAGGAAAATATATTTTCTTATAGAAATAAAAATTATGTGAATGAATTCCAACCTATATCAATAATTCCTCATTTTTAAAAATTATACTAACAATCTGAGATTACACACCCTCTAGAAATATATCTTACGGCTTATAAACAAACAAACAAATAAATAAATAAACAAAAGGCAGTATAGGAACCTGGGCTTACCTCACAGCCCGAGAGGACCTGGCTGGACTGGGCAGCATAGAAGAGAGAGTCCACGTTGCTGGGGTCAAGGTTAGACTTGATGAAGGTACACGCTTTCTAAACAAGCGAGAAAGTCAAAGATAAGTGGTGACAGAGTGCAGTGACTGGGAAAGGTGAAAGTGCTTAGGGGATAAAACTAAACTCTAAACCATCCACAGAGGCCTGACGGATGAATTAATCTAGATAGAACTGTTTTTCAATAGTTACTTTCCACAGGACATTGTTACCCCAAACTGCTGGCTTCACACAAGAACAGCAAGCCTGAGATGGGTAGAAGCCACTTATCAAGTGCTCTGCTCTGGCCATGACCTGTGCTAGGTGTCACAGTGCTCTTCCACTAGCAGAAAAAGGAACAGGAACTTGAGTAGGTAAGTGGCCTGTGGAAAAGCGCAGAGTTAGAGTGTCCTCTGATGCCAAGTATCCTGGGCTGTCCAGTGCCATGTGTCCAAAGCTAAGTCAGTCAACCAATTTAAAATGGCTTTAAGGCCTTCTCTTCTTACCTGACTTCCTGGCCCAGGCATGAGCATCACCATGCATCCAACCACTCAGACCGGACATGGAGAACTGCTGTTGACTTTCCTCCCCTCTAAGGGTACCCTGTCCACTTCCTTTCCTTTTTCCAACTGACACTGACCCCTCGCTTGTCTCTGCCTAGGGCAGGTCTTTGTCATCCCTCACCTGACTGTTAGAGTCCTTTTTAACTGCCTCAAGGCATGTGATCTATTCCGTATACTCTACGACTAAACTCTATGAAACACAAAGCATCCATGTTGCATTACTATTAAACGCTTCCATGGCGCCTATCACTCCCAGAAAAGATCCAAAGTTGCCAACGTAGCACACAATATCTGAGTGGTAATCCCTTGTTCCCCATCTGTGGCAGCTTCATCAGCAGGGCCCACCTCAGGCCCTAGAATCTTATTCTCTTCTCCTGCCCCTTCCAGCTGAACTGTTTTCCTGCCCTTGACTTTTTCTGCCAGGCACCTTTTCCCTGTCTCCTGGTTGCCAAATGAGATTCTCCCTTCACCTCTGCTCAGATGCACCTGTCTCACGCAGCATTTGTTGATACTCATCCCATGACAGGCCACAGTCCCCACTTTGCTCTGTGCTTCCCAAAGCACTTGCCACAGGTACTCAGTACTGGTTGCCTAAGAACACTGTGCCCAACACAGTGAGCACAAAACAAAAATCTAGCCACTTCTGTTTTGCTGAACTGCAAGGGAGAAAAGTTACACTGCTAAATATTTATTTTAAATGAGATAGTATAAAACACAGCTATTTCCTGGGCATGGTGGCATACGCTGTTAACCCCAGCACTTGGAAAGCAGAAATAGGCTGTGAGCTTGAGGCCATTTTGGTCTACATATTGAATTCCAGGATAGCCAGTGCTATGTAGAGAGAGAGACTGTCTCAAAAAACACCCCTTCTTCCAGCTATTCAAAAATTTAGGGTCGCCGGGCGTTGGTGGCACACGCCTTTAATCCCAGCACTTGGGAGGCAGAAGCAGGCGGATCTCTGTGAGTTCCAGGACAGCCTGGTCTACAAGAGTTAGTTCCAGGACAGCCTCCAAAGCCACAGAGAAACCCTGTCTCGAAAAACCAAAAAAAAAAAAAAAAAAAAAAAAAAAATAGGGTCAATCCAGTCAAAAGTGGGTGCTTCTGGTACTGGGGGGGTGTTGCTCAGAGATAGAATACTTGCCTAGCATGCACAAGACCTGGAATTTGATCCCTAAAATCACAGAAGAGAAAAAGTAGGTACCTCCAGAGAATGGAATAGAGAGCAGAAGTGGGTGAGTCATGAAACCGCCTGGTGCCTTCCCTAACAGCTATTCTACATTATGTGAAACCGCCTGGTGCCTTCCCTAACAGCTATTCCACATTATGTGAAACCGCCTGGTGCCTTCCCTAACAGCTATTCCACATTATGTGAAACCGCCTGGTACCTTTCCCTAACAGCTATTCTACATTAGGTCATGTCTCAATGAAGGACTGGGTCACTCCAACCAAAAAAACTCAAACCAAACCAAACCAAAAATACTCTCTAAAAATGTTAGGAACAAAACTAAGATAAGATCCTCAAAACAAATGAGTTTGAAAGAACGAGAGGGAAGGCAGGGCACTGGTGGTGCACACCTTTAATCCCTGCCTGCACTCAGGAGGGAGAGGCAAGCTGATCTTTGTGAGTTGGAGGCCAATCTGGTCTACAGAGAAATCCTGTCTCAGAAACCAAAACAAACCTACCAACCAACCAAACAAACAAAGAACCAGAGGGAATAGGAAAGAAACTAAATACTCCCCCTTGTAAAAACTGGGATCTGAAGAAGGAAACTGGTCACTTCATGAAGCGACCACTTTCTATACAAAGTTAAGTGCTCTGCTGCCCTCTGGTGCTTTAACAACGGAAAGACAGCACCAGGTCCTCACAGTGATATGTTCCTCTTTCCCAGCACTTCAATTGTGTCACAGTGTTCCGAGTGCTTCTAGGGGATTTAAATGACCCTCCACATGGACATTTTCACTGTCTTAAGTTCATAGAGAAGCAAAGCAGCTCAACCAAGGTTGTTTCTAACTGGGAAAACCTTACCAACTGGAGGCTGAGAACCAATCCACACACATCCTCACCTTGACTCTTTGTGCCCTTTGGCCCAAGGGCCCCAACATCCTCCTGAGTGAAAAACCCTGCACTTTCTTCTAACTTCCTTCCTTGCAGCTCCCTAAACTTAATCAGACACCTGTAGTAGAATACTATTTTCAGGTGTATGACTTTTGTTTATGTTGCATTTGTTTAACTCTGAAGCTATGAGTTTTCGCCTGTCTAAAACACCTGATGCTCTAATAAAGAGCTGAATGGCCAAGAGTTGGCAGGAGCAAGGATAGGCGGGGCTGGCAGGCAAAGAGGACAAATAGAAGAAATGAGGAAGAGAAGAGCCAGAGAACAAGGGGAGGAGGGCGACAGGGGCCAGCCAGACATGGAGTAAAAAGGAAAGATACATAATAAGAAAGATAAAAGTCTGGAGGGAAAAGATAGGCGGGTTAATTTAAGTTATGACAAGCTGGCTAGCAACAAGCCAAGCTAAAGTCGGACACTCATAACTAAGAATGAATAAGCCTTCATGTGGAATTTACTTGGGAACTGGGTGGTGGGCCCCTCAAAAAGGCCAAAAAAGACACCAACAAACCAAAAGAGTGAAAAGCCAAAAGAGCAAACCATTGAACTACAAAATGGCTTACCAACGTGGGGCTCAGATATCCATCTAGAGGCTGAGAAACTGGAAAACAACATGGCTCCTTTAAGAGGTGCTGTTGTGCCAGCAGTGCTAAATACAAACTAGAAACAGCAAACTAAGTAAAAACCACTTGCAGCAACACACAGGTATCGGATTCCATAGCTAGAAAGGTTTAATGCAGTTCTTAGTCATGAGCCTCCGACCAGCTGTGAGCTCTAGACTTGGCTTTCCTGACCCAAGACGCAGGCAGAGCCAGCTAGTTCATGCGGAGGACCCAGGTGTGGTAGCTTAACAGTTTAAAGATTGCTCCTGCAGTCAAGAGACACTAGAGATACATAGTAAAAGGATGGAAAAACCTCTAAACAGGTTCCAGTGTCTTCCAATGTGCGTAGGCTAAAGATAGAAAAGGGTATGGACAGTCATAGAAAGAAATAATTTAGAGCCGGGCGGTGGTGGCACACGCCTTTAATCCCAGCACTCGGGAGGCAGAGGCAGGCGGATCTCTGTGAGTTCGAGGCCGGGCTGGACCGAGAGCCTCCAAAACAATACAGAGAAACCCTGTCTCGTAAAAACAAAAGAAACCCTGTCTCTTAAAACCAAAAAAAGAGAAAACAAAAGAGAGAATGAAAGTAATGAAAAAATAAGCCATGTAGAGATGGGAAACACACAGGGAGTCTCGATCCTGTATGCTATTGTGTCATTTTAAATTTGATTGCTGAAAAGCAAAGGACAGCTACTAAGAGACCTGGACTTAAAAGGACTGTTAAACCAGCCCAGATATTTTAAGAATGCCTTAACTTTCAAATGGAAGTCAAAAAAATCTATTTGTAAAATGGAATTTAAAAGATACTGCTTTGGGGAAGCACTTTTGCTTTTGTTTCCATAGGAAACAAGAGGCAATGTATTTGTTACAATAGGGATCTGGTTTCATTAAGGAAGACTACCTGAAACTTGACAGGTGCTATCTATCAACAAAGATTATGACTTGGTCATTATCTCAAAATTTTCTCAGGGATCCTAAAATGCCTTCACCCATATTCAGCAGGAAGCAGTTTGGAGAAAACAATGTCCACATTCCCAAGAGCTGAGTTGTGAGAGGTTTTTGTTTATTTGGTGGGTGGTGGACATTTGTTACAATTTAGGGGAATAGAGTATATGATAAAAAGACCACTATTAATCTCAGATATTTTGCATTGGCATGGATTTTGGTATATGAATACAAATTCAAAGTCAATTTGTTACACTGTATATATGTTTTTACTCTTATTTAAAGGATTTTTGTATATTGATATAAATTTAAGGTCATTTTTGTTACAGTACAAGGTATATATGTTTCTACTCTTGTTTAAAGGATAATACTGATACCAAGTTAAGGTTATTTTTGCTACAACATATTGCATATATGCTTCTGTTCTTGTTTAAGTTATGTACCTAGGGAGTTCATTTAAAAATGTAAGGTAAAATTCTAGTTTTTGAAAGCTATTATTATGAATTATTTAAGATAATCAAGAAACACAGGTCAGTAGTTAGTCATCTATAACATTCAAATTTGTAGATATGCTAGATATTTTTTCCAGATCCTTTCAAAGACCTATAGAATATGGGACTTAAAATGTTTTGTTAATTTAGGGCTTTTCATGACAATGAGACACATCTGCTCCTTGCAGCACCAATTTACTGCAGAGATGATAGGCACTGAAGAAACTCCTTATGGAGTGTGCTTTCAATGTAGCAAAGCCAGCCATTTGGATAAGCTACTGCTCTTGCCTGGATGGCTTGACAGTATGTTGTATAAACTGGACATGCAGGACCCACAGGAAAGTGACCACTGAACTTTGCCAAAACAAGGCAGGATGATCCTTCAGGGTTCCTGCTTCACAGAAGAAACTGCCAGACATTCTGCAAGAAACAGAGGAAAGTGACTGACAAATTGCCAATATAGGTGGGGCAGTCTTTCAAATTTTCTGCTTCATTGAAAAGTTTGCTAGATACCTGAGCCCACTATTTTGGTACACACTGCCTATCATACTTTCCCATACCCTGCTCCAGCTGTCCTAGACACCAACTCCTAGGCAACGTTCAAGCACTAGTAAGCCCCAGACTTTGCAGAGGCTCCTCCCTATATCATCTCATCAGCACAATCCCTTACTCTCAATTGACAACCCACAATGCATTCATAAAGTTCATGTTGTAATTTAAGCAAACTCATTCATCCTTGTCCCTCAACCTGCTGCTGGCTTCTCTTCCCTCAGCCCCGCCTTAATTTACACCTACAACCCTAATCAGTGCCTCCTCAAACTCACAACAGCAGCAAAGAACATCTTAGAGGAATGTGCTTAACCTCAAGTTCACATGGATCTCCAAATCACGCCACAGCTCAGAAGGCACTGTGAGTGCCTCACTCCTCCACAAGTCTCAAACACAAATCTGATGATTCACAAATGTTTCTGTTCTTGGCAGAAACCTTTCACCCGCATTCCAATCCTACTAAAATCTGACATTAGTCTAACAGTCAACTTCATTTGTTACACTTTACAATACAAAACCTCTACTAGTTGCCACTGCTCCACTCCACGCCCCTCAGGCTGTTGAGGGCTATCTCCTCAGGAACCCCCACATCCTCTTGAGGAAACAGGGCAGCACTGAAGTATCATCAAAGCACACGACAAACACAGTGTCTGTGCTAGGCATTGTCTGAACTTGCCTGAATATGAACAGAACAAAAACACCTCACTATTAAGAACGATAATTACAGCTACTGTGTGAAAGGGGCCCTTGGTGGCACAATCTGATTTCACTTTATACTAACAACAATCTTGTGAGATGGATTACATAGTTCCCTTTTCACAGAAAAGCAGAGCAGAATGAAAAGTTTAGGCTAACTGATGCCTGTGAACTTACTTTCAAGCTAAAACAATTCATGTTCAAGATTCACAAGACACTGAGGAAGTCTGCATCCTTAATATAGTCACACATAAAAGAAATTTGAATAAGCTGTATCCCAGACAGTAGGGATTAGCAAATGTTTCCTATAAAAGGCCACTTAGTCATTATTTCAGGATTTGGGGCTAGACAGCCTAGAGACTACTTAGTATATTGTTAAGGTACAGAAGCAGCAATAGATGACATGTGTATGAATGGGTGTGGTTTTATTTCAATAAACCCTCACAAAAACAAGCTTTAACACAGATGTGACCATAGGAACCAGAGTCAGTCACCTTCTCTGCATTCAGACTCACTGGTAGGTACTCACAGTTAACCTTTTCAAGGTCTTGTTTCCTCCTGTTACAGGAAATGTTTCTGACAATATAGACAAATGAAGATATCTCAAAAGAACATACCAGGTATACCTGGCACATAAAAAATTCACAATAAGCAACACTGATTACTGATTCCAGCCCAGGATGGAGTATGTCATACCCAAAGCCAAGAAGTGTGTGCTCATGTTCTCAGTCTTGTCTCCTGCCTCCATACACCTTGACCTATATTGGCACTGACATAAATTAAAAGATATTGGCAGGGACTTCCAGTTCTGGCCAAGACATAACTGAAGGCATTGACTTGACTCTTCTACCAGTAACTACAAATCTAGGTAAAATACATGACACTAGACAATACACAGTATACACTGTGATTATCCCTGCCCCTTTTGAGACAGGGCCTGTATATGCAGCTCCTGCTGGCCTGGAATTCACTATGCAGACCAGGCTGACCTTGAACTGAGAGAGCTTTCTACCTCTGCTTCCCAACTGCTGAGATTAAAGGCATGCATCGCCTCATCCAGCCACAAAAACTCTTGAAAGAAAGCAAAAAGGCAACAGCATAAATGATAGGCATTTGTGTGGAAACATCTTCTCATAAAGATCTTTCATTATTTGTTATGTAGTAAAATATCTCAAAGCGTTGGGAGGCCTTGCTGGTCAGAGGATGCAGTCTATTATGGCCTGGCTGCTTTCTCCAAAGCTAGATGACATGGGAGACTCTCCCCTCCAGCAAGGCTTCCTGCTCTACCTGCCCTTATCTGGATAACATCCCTGGGCCCAGAGAACTGACCTTATCAGAAAGCTGTCTCTAAGCCTAGATGCCTGATTTATTTATTTATTTATTTATTTTTGGTTTTTGATATAGGGTTTCTCTGTAGCTTTGTAGCCTGTCCTGGAGCTCACTTTGTAGACCAGGCTGGCCTCGAACTCACAGAGATTCGCCTGTCTCTGCCTCCTGAGTGCTGCATGTCTTTAGCATGACCCTTGGCAGTTTCCTACTGGAAGCTTTTCCTCTGATGCACACATGGTGACTAAGACTTGCACTAGGAGCTTTGCTATCGGACCCTGCTGCCACATTCAAAGCCTTATAATAGGAGTGTTTGACTTATTGCAAATTAGGGTTTGTCCACAGACTTCCCAATCCTATATATTCTCTATACTCTGGAATAAAGCTGAGCTGATTCACCAAAGTCATTTACTGGAAGGTTGTCACCATCGTACCCCCAGCCATCTGAACCCTGTTCCCCGATTCTGCTCCCTCCACCCTTGTGGAACCAAGGAAGAAGCAGATCACATCAAAGTACACTGAAAAATCAAGGATGCACACTAAACTATAATGAAAAGCAGCACTAGGGTCAATGAATTGGCTCAGCTAGCAAGGGTTCATGTTGCCAAGCCCGACAAACTGAGGTTCATTTTGTCACAAACAACCTGTGGAAGTGGCTTTTCTCCCCCTACCATGCGAGTTCTGAGAGTTGAACTCACTCAGGTCATCAGCTTTGGTAGCAGGCACCTTTATTCATTGAGCCACACAAATGAGTGGTTTTCAAATCCTCAATTCATGGTAATTTCTTATGAAGTCATAGAAAACCAAGAAACAGAGAATATGCCTTAGCCTAACTGACCATGATTTTGTAATGACTATATACCCCCTTAGCTGTTCCTCATTGTGGAATATCAGTTTAAGGTGTATTGCATTTGTTTATGCTGTGGAATATTTGTTTAATGATGCAAAGATGTGCTGAATTCTTTTGTTGCTTTTAACTCTGTGAGGCTGTGTTAGTTTGCCTACTTAATATACCTGACTGGTCAAAAAAAAAAAGCTGAAAAGTCAATAGCTAGGCAGGAGAGGGATAGGCGGGGCTGCAAGGCAGAGAGAATAAATAGGAGGAGAAACCTAGGCTCAAGAGAAAGAGGATACCAGGGGCCATACAACCGGCCACAGAGTAAGAAGGAAAGAAAGCATATAAACTATGTCCACATTACCACACACAAGGACTGTCGCTGACCAATGCATGTGAGCCCTCTGCCTGACTCCTTTATAGTTGTCAGCCATGCAACTAGTGCTTTACAAGTACACGCCGTGGGGCTGGGGAGATGGCCCAGTGGCGAAGTGTACAAACCAAGCACAAACAAGCTGCAGTGAGCAGCTTCACAGATAGTTCTAGTAGATTCTGACTCACTTTCCCCCTTTCCCTTAGAAGCACCCAACTGGTGGGACACACATTAAGTAAACAACCTCAGACTGGAAGAAGTATTGTTACATTAATGCAGTAATACTCACACCAGTAAGAGTTTGTTTTAAAGTATCCAAGAGGAATGTGTGAGGAGATTAAGGTTCTCCTAAAACACTGAACAGAAGAAAGGCAGCTTTACCTTGACATCTGGCACCTGGGCCCCCAGGCTGTTGAGTCCCACGATGGAATAGAAGGCAGACTCCAAATTTGTGAAAGGACGTTCCAATGAGGCTTTCAGTCTCTCCACATCATGCTTGGTGAGGTAGTGGGTAGGTGTCAAAGCCTGGGTGCTGGCTACAATCGTCAGAGCCAACAGGAAGACAGCGCTGGAACCTTTGACAGAAATGACTATTAAGTACATGTCACAATACTCATAGTTACAGCCCCAACAATGAAGCACCAAGGTCTGGGAGCCCAACCACGTGGGAATAGGTAGAGAACACAGGTTGAGCCTCAAGAGATGGGGGAATGATGGCCCCATCTTCAACTACCAGGACAGTCTTTCATGCATGCTCCAGGACAGAACAAACCCTGAATCCTTCTATCTTGTCTCCTCCCTCACCCACTCCAAAAACTTTCACTTTCCAGCCTATTCCTCAAGGAGCCAGGTTCCTTCCTACCTAGCACTCTTTTTAGGTTTTCCTCCACTTCAACTCTGCATAATGTGTCCTTTCAGTGTTTTGCTTAATATCTTTAAGAAGCTTTCCTTGAGTTAGGCCCCAGTACAATGAAGAACCTAGCCTATGGGCTATACAGGAACCACAGTCAAGTTACTTAGCAATTGCCTCAACTTCTTCAAGCATAAAGCAGATGACAAGTGTCATCCCTGGGCTTGTTCTGAGTTAAGGGGAAAGGATTTTAGAATATTGATTGGTCTGTAACGAGCACTTTGTACAGTATCAGCTACTGCTCCCATTACTGTGCTTGCTGCTGTAGCCAGCCAGCAAAGTCTATACCGTGCCTAAGCTGCATTTTCCGAAACTAAGAGTATAAAGGATAGCTGGACAGTGGTGGCATATGCCTTTGGTCCCAGCACTCAGTAGGCAGATCTCTGAGTTTGAGGACAGCCAGGGCCACATGGAGGATTAATCCCTGTCTGGGGGCTGGGGGATGACACAAAAACACCCCCAGCAAAAAAAAAAAAAAAATACAAGGGTTGACCTCTCTGCTAAACTATAAGCTCTTCGACTCTAGATTCTAGGAGCTGGAGGCTAAAGACTATTTCTCATGTTTATCTCAGTATTTTCAAGTCTTAGACTGTCAGGTATGGTATGCACCGAGTAAATGAAACAGTCCCATCTATGATTCCCTTAGGGAACATGAAGAAACTCTAGAAACAGCATCTGTCTATCTTTCATTAAAAATAAAAACAAGGGAACCTTTTGAATAGGCCATGTCATGAAAAAGTGAATCAGCTGTCACCCAAGTTAAAAGCATTAAAAGGCAACTATAAGATGAACATCAATGGCCCTAAATCCTTAGCCTATAGCTCAAGTTTAATTTGAATTAGAATCCGTTAAGGGCATTACCTTCCGGAGAAGAAAGCTGAGGACTACAGTAGCTTACATGTGGCCAGTCTTGGTTGGACTCAAACCCAGCCAATACTACAGAGCTCAAAACCCACTTTAAAAAATGAATTTAAACTGGGGCCGGAGGTGTGTGCACATGAGGTCAGAGGAAAATTTAGGAGTCAGTTCTTTCCTTCTACCATGTGGTTCTACCTGACTCTCGACTCAGGTCATCTTATCAATGCCTTCGCAAACAGCGCAAACAGCGTTAATGACAAGAACCTTAACCCCTGGAGTCATCTTAAGGTCCCCCTACTTTTTTTTCCCCTTTTGGCAATGTTGAAAAGACACATAATGCAGACAGAATCACTCTTCTATGTACAGTAGTTTCACTTAAGTCTTTGTGTGTTAAGTCAGTATGTGTAGAGGTAATGGCTTAGTGTAGAATTCATACCCTGGGTTTGATGCATAGTAACCTCTAAGTCCCAAGCTCCATACTAAAACAAAGAGCTCTATAAAGTTCAGTACTCATCAATCTATAGTGAGTACTCCTGCATGCCATTCTCTCAGTGCTGAGAACTGAACCCAGCTCCCCAGCTCCCTAGGCCCTAGCTAAAAAAGAAAAAAAAAAAATAAGGTTCATAAGTTACCTGTCCCTGCCCTAAGACATATAACTGGGACTCAAACTTGAGGCAGTTTCAATACAAATTCTGACTTTAACCACTTTGCCAAGAAATCATAGTGAAATGGCAAGCTTTGTTCAATGTGTTCCCGAGTTACTTCCTTCCTCTGGGATTCCAACTACTCATCTTTAAAAAGATGACACTAAGCTTCCACACGACCCTGTCCATTCAGAATCTACCCCGCATCGAATTTTGCCCTGCACTGTTACAAGTAAACACAGAATACCATTTAACACGGATCTTCTGAAGCAGATACCAAATGAGAAACTGGGATGCAGATGGGTTAAGTCCCTGGCACCTGGTCTCACAGTAAATGTGGCCGCGCAAGTCTGCACATCTGGTAACACTTCATAGCCTAGGCTTTACTAGGTGAGCCTCCTGTCCCCGTCAGGGAAAAACCGAGTCCAGTGACATGGTCAAAGGCTTTCACGACGCCAAGGGTGGCTCTCAGACAGGATGTAGGCCGCCCGTACCACCCGAATGAATGAAGGAAGCCAGGCCCGGGGTCCGCGCCGCCGCGGTTCGCGCTGGGCCTCGCGGGGACCCGTAGTCACGCATCGCACGCCCCCCCTCCCCGCAACAATCCTTCGGGTCGCCCGCACTTCACCAGAGCTCTAAGCCCTCCGTCACACCCACGACCCCGAAAGCGCCCGAGCCCATGCCCCTGCCCCGTAGGGGAGGGGAACCGCGCCTGGCCGGCGCCCGTGTGGTCCGCACTAGCCTCCCGCGGGCGACGCCCCGCTCCCCAAGGCGTGTCGGCCGCGGGGCCCCACTGTTGAGCCATGCGCAACGCCTCACCCGGCGGCGCCATTCCTCCGACCAGGTCCCACCGGAGCCCGAGCAGGCAGACTTCCGCTCTGGAAAGTGGGTCCAAGAGCGCGCCGGAGGGGACGCTAGGGACCCGCAGCACACGTCGCCTGCCAGAATGGGCTCCCGGCAAAGGTCAGTCTCGGAGGTCTCACTGGGAAGGGCCGAGCTCTGCAGCCGCGGTGTAGTAGGTCCAGTCGTGGCGTGCGAACCGCTTTCGGGGCTCCTGCCTGCGAACCCGCAGTCTCCCCCGTGTCTAGACACACTTGGACCCGGCCGCCTCTCAACCGTCCTGCTCTGGCCGCCACCCGGATGCGATTGGACGGGGATTTGGGATGGGCCTGAGACGGGGCCACCTCTGATTGGCCAGTGCCAGTGACTGGCCGGACGCGCTGTCAATCACGGGTCTCTCCCGCAGCCCGGCCAATTTTAAAGCCGTGAGAAGGGAGGCTAGGACTGTAGCGACATGATTTTAACCCCTTTTGGATATTATGGTTGAAGGGTTACGTAGATTAATAACTGATTTATGAGTCAATTTTTACCCAGTTTTAAAATCGGTAAGTTATATAGTAACTCTGAGGAGCGTTTTTATAAATATTTTATTTTTGCGAATTTCATACAATATATTTTGATCATTCATTCCCTTCCCCTAACCCGTTACCCACTCAACTTCATGCTCTATTTCTCTCTCAAGGTGCGTGGTGCGCGCCTTTAATCCCAGCATTTGGGAGGCAGAGGCAGGTGGATCTCTGTGAGCTTGAGGCCAGCCTGGTCTACAGAGCGAGTTCCAGGACAGCTCCAAAGCTACACAGAGAAACCCTCTCGAAAAACAAAAACAAACAAATAAAAAATAAAAAAATAAAAAAACTAAGCATGGAGTCCTACCCAGTATCACTCCATTGAAAAAAACCGGACTTTCCTTCTCCCACAAGTTATCATTTATGAGTAGCTTTCTAGCTAGGGGCAGGTCTTTTGTGCCCACTTGCCGTTCTCTACACTGGGATTTTGTATAGCTTAAGCTTCTTTCTGCAGGTCTGTGCACACTCTCACAATCTGTGGATTCACAGTGCATAGTCCCGGCTGTGTTTGGAAACTGCTGCTTCCTTGAAGCCACGCATCACTTCTGCTCTTCCGGTCTTTCTGTTCCTCTTCCACATAGATCCGTGAGCTTTAGGACAGGAGTAAGATCCCATTTAGAGCTGAGATTTCCAAAGTTCTCTGCATGGTGATGAGTTGTGGGTTAATTGCCATCTACTTCAAGAAGAAGCTTCTCCTGTGAGGACTGAGGGATGCCAAATTAGTAGGTGGCTCCAATTACTGAGCATTTACAAGTCAGTTGGAAAGAGTACTAAGCATTCTACACACATGGTTTCATTCACTCTTTATCATTATCCTATGAGGTGTGTAGAGATACTGTTAGCACTTTAAAAAGAAGGAAATATTTCAGCCTGGGCAATTCTGAATACAGTCTGCTTTTAGCTATTGTGAACATGTAGAATATCACAGTATAGAAATGTTTCTTGTCTTTAGTATTGCCCCAAATATTATTCAGGTATGTAGTAGAGAGATAATTCTGTGCCTAATAAGTACCATGCTTCCATGTAGAGGCCAATAACCCTGTGCAGTTATTTCACTTTGAATTTTAAATTAAGGAAAATTTAAGCTTCAGCTCCTCAGTTGTAATAGCTATGTTTCAAATGCTCACTAGCTCAACCAGGGTAGTTAGTAAATATCATACTGGGCAATTTGACAGATATTTTCATTATGCCAAAAAATGATATTGGGTAGTGCTTGTAAGGCCTATGCTTACCTACAGGGCCAAGGTTACAGGATATGGCTGGTGAGGAATTAAACCAGGGTTGGGTTGGAGGGACCACAGCAAGACTGAGGCTGAGACTATCTTATTGAGAGCAATCAGACTTTTATATCTTTATCAGAAACAGAATATAATGGCGATTGCCAGGATCAATACTATGGTAGTTACCAGGGTACAATGACATTTGCAAGCTATACAGGGCACACAAACAAAGTTAATATCTAAGACCAATTGTCCTGTCAAGTTTCCATACTTCCTTTACTTCTAAGGGAACATACAGAGAAACACAGTTTCCTGAGTGCTTCACTGCCTGAAGGAGTTCCTCAATTTCTCAAGGACTGATGGGTGCACTATGCCCTAGGAGCTGCAGACTCTAACCTGAAAAAGCTACAACAATGCCTCTCAAGACAGCTAGGCCAGGCCAATTCCATGGTTCCCTATAAGTGCCCAACTAGAATACGCTTAAAGAACTCTACCCATTGAGTAAGAAGACAAGCCAGCGATGTGCTACAGAAAGAGCCAGCTGTTAAGTTTTCAAGAAGTTTGCAAATTGGCTAAATATAGCTATTTAGACATTAAATTGCTATAGCAATAAAGTAAAAGAAAACATGCTAAAAATAAAACTTGATTTCTGATTTTATCACATTTACCATTGTCTGAACATATGTGATTCCCTATACATATGTAATTCCCCACCAGTATAATGTGATAAGATATTATATATACCACTGCACAGTTTGTATTCAAGGGAAACATTTGTAGCTTGATTCTGGCCATGATTTTGGAGTATTTACACCATAAAATTGGTATATGTGGCAAAGCAGAACTTGGTTTATTGATTTGTTGATTATCCAAACCTAATGATGGAGAAAGGGTTAATAGAGATTAAATTTTAAAATGTGTCACATCTATTATGGTAGCACACACCCTGTGATTCCAGCACTTGGGAAACAAAGATATGAAGTACAAGGTCACCCTTAACCACATAATGAGTGAGTTGCCAGTCATGGCTACCACATATGCAAAGTGTTATGTCTACAAAATGTACATTGTCAATAGCTTGACCATGTCTTTGCTGTTGCAGTTATGTCTTACTTATTGATGTAAATGAAAGGAGCTATCAGTGGTCACTTAAGGATTACACTTATGTCTGGGCTCAGTGCTAGAGTACTTGCCTAATATGCATAGTATCCTGGGTTAGATTCTTAGCACCGAAGAAAAAAAACACACAAACAAGTGCAGGGTCTTAGTCCAACCACAGAAGACTGAGCTGGGTCCCAGGAAGGGTAAGTGTTCCCCAGCCTCCCAGAATCGCAGAGACAATCTGACACAGCAGGGAGTTTAGTTAAGTAGGAACGCATTTATTGTCCCACAGCAAGCATCATTTAAAGGAAAAAAACCACAGAGAGGGAAAACAGTCAGCCAATGGTTTTTAAAGGTCAGCCTATCATGCATCTAGGCGCCCTATACTTAGTGAATATGAGCTGTTCATGCAGTGACCTCATTTGGTTCAATCTAGGCAACCAATCACCTTTTTTTGTAAACAACTCAGGACTTGCCCATCTGACTTCCCCTCAGTGCCATCTTTGACTGGCTCCTGTGCCCTACAGACTTCCCCCTTTTTGTTTTAGACTGTGGCCCACCCCATTTTTAAGTACGGGCCTCTTGGCACCTCCTCAGAGGTTCACCTCTAATAGCACCTTTTGTCAAGGTTCACTCAAAAGGGACATATCCTCAGGGCTGAACCTATCACAATGTATGCGAGGGGTCATCAGTTGGGTCTCTTGAGTCTTTGTTCTGATTAGTCTGACCAGACTATTGAAAAGGCAAAGCCAAAGACACAAATTAAGGTTATTACTATAAAGGAACCCATAGAATGGAAACTGCCTTATCCAGCAGTCGGTCCCCGTTTTCTCACACCTCCATTGTGCACAGAAGAAGGCGTCCACCCCACCATATTTGGATATGTCCGTTGCTGTTCAATTGCTCCCCGGGCATATGTAAAAGTCACTGTCCCTTAAGGCTGCCCTATTTGGAACATGTGAGCAACCTGGGTATTGTGGATTCAATATGTGGGGCAGGTGGCACCCCCACAACCCTCCACATTCAAACCATCCTTAATGAAAAGAAGTCCAGTCTCCCACATCCCAAGATCCTCAGACCAGGTCACAGAGTCAAAGAAGAGCATGGGCCATCAGGTCTAGGGGACTGCCTCATTTGTGTGCTGTTGAGGACATCTCCATTGGCGGCATTGATCACCATCCACGTCACCTTTTGGAGACGATGAGGGTTTTCTTCTGGGTGGTCACTGGAGCAGTCAGCATCATCAGAGCGGTCAGGAAGCAAGACATCATCTGTAATTTTTAAAGAACACAAGAGCTTCTCAAGAGTCTTGGATATGGTTAGGTATCATTGTATTGACCTTCTTATTTTGTAAGATGAGCCTTGACAACCATTGTCTTCCTTTCCTTGTTAGTCACCCTGTTCTTAGTCATCTTCCTGCATTGTGGGAGCAGGCAGGAATTTTAGATTTCTGGCTAGAAACCAGATGGGCACTTCCTCCCCTATGGGGAAGACACATCCAAATCCTCTTCCTATTGTAATTAATGGATCTGGGCCCCCCATGGGATGTTAGAGGGTCTTTCCATTTGACCTTAACTTGGGGTTTGGGGTAAATTCGGTTACTCCCTTAGAAAAATTCAAAATATTAATAGTAAATAAAGCCATTCCTAGTTGTAAATGGGGACTGATTCGCCCTTTTTGTTTTAAAAGTTATTCTTTAAGACATTGATGGTTTCTTTCTACAATTGTATGTCCCTGAGGGTTGTAAGGAATTCCTGTAGTATGTTTGATGTGCCATCTATTGAAAAATTCTGCCATGGAATTCCTGGCAAAGCAAGGGCCATTATTAGTCTTAACCTGTGTGGGTAATCCGGGAAACATTGGAGGAAATGTGCTTGAGCATGTTTGATTTTTTTTTTCTCCTATATGCACAGTGGCTCAACAGCCCCCTGAATAAGTGTCTATGGAGACAAAAACCTACTTCTGTTTGCCAAAAGCTGGAAAATGAGTAACATCAGTTTGCCAGAGGGTATTGGGCTGTAGGCCTCTGGGGTTAACTCCTGGCGGCTCTAGAGATGGAACTCTTAGGTATGGTTGACATGATTTGCAGGTGTGAACTATCTTTTTAGTTCTTTTATAGGAATCATTGGGAATCTATTATGTAGTCCCTTCCAGTTGACATGGGTCATGTCATGCAATTGAGTGGCTTCCTGTAGGGTTAATGCCTCTGGGGTTGTCACCTGTCTTATCTGCTCAT